GATACGTATTAGGTACATATACCAGTTTCCTAGTATGAGTATGTACCTCACTCAGTAAGTATACGTGCATCTATTGTACACTGCTCTGCCTTGTTGTGCGAATGGTCGTAAGTGCGACTGCCGGGCAAGGGGTCTCGGATTCGATTCCCGGGTCGGGCAAAGTATTACTGAGTTTTTAAAAAATCTCAGTATTAGCAAGGAGTCTGGAATTGTGCCCGGTATATGGCAATAGGCTCACCCCCTATTACATGGGACTCATAACATAAATATTGAAAAGTGGGTGTTACATTGTAGTGTGGCATAATGTGTGCACCTCTGCCTACCCCTTCGGGGATAAAAGCGTGATGTTATGTTATGTTAAATACACGTAGTGCATCAGTAGCTAGCTTGTCATTCAACTTACGAAGTAGGTACGGTAGCTGCAAGTAACTTTATAACAGCAACTTTTTAATTAACTCAGAACACACACCACATAGGTTGTTTTGCACCACACGCAATTGATAGGGGGAATCCCTAACTAATTGTCACTTGGTGTGAAATGACACTATCTTGTACAAAGGTTAGCCGAAGGTGATTTTTCCTCTCTTAGTCACTCGTCGATGTTTTCCGTTTGATCTCTTCGCTAAATTAATCAATTACGACGTAATAAATGTCTATATCCGATGGAGGTAACTATTATGTATTAATATCCATATGTAAAATTTTTAAGGCGTTACAGAACGAAATTATTGTCCTTTAAGAGCTGAAATCTGGCATTTAATCGTAAAAAAGAACTGTAAAAAAGGATTTTAGCAATATAACTCAGGTAACAAGGAAACGGGATTTTATGTGTTTTGAAGTTCCAGGTGAGAATTAGCAATAAAACTAGAGAATTTAGTTGTTCTATACACGAAGTATTAATAGGGTGGATGAATACACTAAAGGCCAACCAACCAACTAAAAATAAAATAATATCGTTATTTGATTGCACGATTGCCGCGGTGGTCGGGCAACTGATTGCCGCGCAACGTGTCGCGGGTTCGATTCTCGTTCGAACTCTTTGTGTGATCCACAGATTGTTTTTCCGGGTCTGGGTGTCATGTGTTTGTGAACTAGTAACTATGTTTATAAACGCACCCACAACACTGGAGAAAAGCCTATTGTAAAGTTAAAAAAAAAGCAATAAAATATGCGATATTATCGTTATTTTATTTTTGGCATATTTTTCAAAAAAAGTTTTAAATATTACTCTACAAAGAATAGGATCAGACTCCATTCACGAGTACGATCATAAGGAAGTTTTGTATTACCCTCTAAATTCGGATATGTACAAAGAGTCAAGTAGCCTGCATGCTTACGTCCGCACCATTACATTGGTATACTGCAGTTTGAACATCAACGACATCTTAAGTTAACCTTCATATGTTTATATAAACTGAATTAATTAATATGGTTTGAGTCGTTACGACTGCTAAGGTTCAGGTCTTTCGCACTTGAACTTTCTTTTTGACCTATCTAATTATTAGTAAGCAATTTGGTTTCCATTAATAACCAATTTGTGCAGTCTGGTTCTTTTGCAGTCTGCTTCTTTAAAATACAGTTATAAGGTCATCATTTTACAGTAGACTTTCAATTCTCCACTTACCTATACATGGAAACATAGTTATTTGGACCCCTGAGTAACTCGGGAAAAAGCAGGAATGATATACAATTAGATCAAAACTCAGTTTTCCGTAGAACTTTCTAAGCGGAGAAAATTGTCAATAATAGTGTAGGTAACGGTGAGAGCTCACTTGTACTATTACACTTAAGTATTACTTTACAAACAAAATTGTTGAAGTGAATTAGGTAGTTCCTTTCCTGTTCCGTATCTTATTATTGAGTTACTGCTCAGTTCATCAGTTATAATACGATCTCATAAATTTATATGATGACTTATTTTGCTTCTTCTTTTCTTCATCGACCATAAGGTCCAACATCTAATGTGTGTCTCACAATACTAAGAGTGGTCGTGATCACCCATCCCTAATCTCAGCTTGATTTCCACATTTTAACCTACATTCTGTCTGTATATATGTCTGTATCTAAGCCACCACGTTTATTTCCTTGTCTTTTATCTACTTTATCAAAAGGAGAGCGATCTACTTTTGATAAAATCATCTAAACAAATGAACGCAGCATTTTATAGATAGTATTCATCCTATAAAGTACTTTTTTTCAGTTTATGGGTTTGTTAAAGACCTGCTTCATTTACTACATACGGGGCGAGTGACCAGAGTGTAAATTATTATGTACCTATTAGACAACGACACGACATTAATATTTTAATATCAATTATAGCATTTTACTATTACTTATGTGATAAGTGTAATTAAATAAAGTCTTAATTCTGCATTTTATTACTTTACTGAAAACATAGAGGTAAATTAGTATGTATGTAATGTAATTAATTGTATGTAATAGTAAAAAAATATGTAATGTAATTACCTAACTTAAAATGACTTTAACGTTTAAAATTGTGAACTATTTCCTTTGTACCTAAACATTCTACAATTCTACATTCATACGAAAAGACATAACAAAAATATAAATCGCTGTGGTCTAAATTCACAATCAATAATTATTTTTTTTGTAATTATACTTATCGACATAATATTACTAGGTTTTATCACCAGCTCAGTGACTGTTAATCTAAATTTTGAAAGTTATAATAACACTTCGTCTTAATTCTTGAACTTGTCATATGTATAACATCTACGAAGGGTAATCGTTCAATGTCAAACCATCTTACGTAGAGAAATATATTTATGTACTAGCTGTGCCCGCGACTTCGTTCGCGTAGAATAGTGACTATGAGCAGCGTTTTTTTTTTAAATATATACTTATTTTTATTTTAGATTTGGATCATAATCACAGTCATTTTGGGTAGCTAAAAAACCTACTTTACTGTAATGCTTCTCTATATACAATATTAGACGTATGGCCATCGGGGGTGAAAGCATACAGGCTGCTGGGATTGCTAACACGGGACAGAGCCACATACAATTGACCGTGCGAAAAACAGCTGATACTTAGATCTATACCCACAACTTTTAGAGTCTGACCTTGAGCTTTATTAATTGTCATGGCGAAACATAGGCTCACTGGAAACTGAATTCGTTTAAAATTAAACGGAAAATTTTTTGGAATGAGAGGAATCTGAGGAATAAAACCACTATCACCTTTTCCGCACCCTGTTAAATATATATATATTTATAAGCCATTTCTGAGATTAGCGTGAACAGACAAACAGACAAACAGACAAAAAAAAAGTTAGTTACATTTTTGGGTTCGACATCGACATAACAATAGCCCCTGCTATTTTTTTTATTTTTATTTTCAATGTACAGACAGCACTTTTCTACAATTTTATTATATGTATAGATAGATAGATAGATAGTGTTCGACGTGATTCTTTAATTTGACGTAACTTTTTTATTTATGAACCGATTGACATGAAACAAACACTAAAGCATAACTGAAGCATACCACAATATATTCGTGAAAACCGCATCCAACTCGGATAAGCCGTTTCTGAGATTAGCGTGAACAGACAAACAGACAAACAGACAAAAAAAAAGTTAGTTACATTTTTGGGTTCGACATCGACATAACAATAGCCCCTGCTATTTTTTTTATTTTTATTTTCAATGTACAGACAGCACTTTTCTACAATTTTATTATATGTATAGATATCGAAAGATTACAACATAACCGTCCTTGACATTTAGAAAAGTATTCTGACGAAATTTCACCTTCATTAATTAAACAATTTAAAGTTTTAAGCATACTCATATAGAATTCCAATTTCTTCGACTTCTAAGATATTTTTGGTTAATGGTTTGGTCTTGAAAGTTATGAGACAACTATTTTATAATTCGACTAAATAAGAAGAAGGAAATTGTCTGGACCTTACTTTATAATCTCTAAGGAGATTCCAGAGAGTTTGGGAGATGTCTTAAGTGTGGAAGAGCCATGCTTCGGCACGAATGGGCCGGCTCGAACGGACTGATACCACGGCCTCAAAGAAAACCGACGTGAAGCAACGCTTACGTTGTATTTTGTCGTGTGAGTGAGGTTACCTGAGGCCCAGCTCCCTCCCCCCTTCCCCAATCTCCCCAATCCCCGAATCCCCAACAATCCTCAAACTCCTAGTCCCCAAAAGGCCGGTAACGCACTTGTAACGCTTCTGGTGTTCCAGGTGCCCATGGGCGACGCCGATTGCTTACCATCAGGTGATCCGCCAGCTCGTTTACGGCATATTCCATAAAAAAAAGACAGGAAGGACGAGGAGGGTTCAAAAACTTCTTTTGATTAACTTTAAATCTAATCTTTAAACCTCTATAAACAATAATAAACTATTTGATCAACCAATTTAACGATATAAATAACAGATGTATTGTATTATCTTGACAACGTCTTTAAAATTGTCATGTAGCGCCAGAAGATAATATGCACGAGAACAAAAATATGTGTAGGTTTAGGTATATAAAATTTTTTTGGCATTAAAATGATTGGTTATATGAATGTTATGAATTTTATCTCCGAATACCTGATATGGGTCAATGAAACGCGAATGTACCAACATACATTGTGCGTTTGCACGCACGTGTGACGCATAATATCCCGTCCAATTTCAGTTAAGCAAAAAATAAAGCGTATACATCAATAAACTAAATCTGTTTTTGAACCGTTTTGTGAGTTGATCAGCGACATCCGCTGGGCTGCACGTGCTCCAGACCATAGCATGTTGCGTCGCCGACGACGCACGCGACACCCGATCGGAAACGAGGGAACTGTCGGAAGCCCGCACTACCATTACATCTGCCTACTTCACAGAAACAGTAGGGACCCCACGACTCGTTTGATTATACACAGTCCATTGACGTGTCATTGTGTGCGGAACAAGATTGCGAGTGCAAAAACCAGTCGAGTGACACTTTACAATTGCTTTTTGTCGAGCGTTAGTGCACGTCTCCTGCGCAGCAATCAATTGTAGCGAAAGAACGCCGAATGTGGTCGTAGTTCAGTGGCGCGTGAGTCCCGCTGTAAGATGGCCGTGTCGTGGTACGCCGTGCTCGCGCTCGCCGCCACCGCGCTCGGAGCCACTATTGGACGTAAGTATCATATTTTGACAACAACTCTCACATCACGTTTTTATTCAGCTTTCAGTCACGATTTATTTTTTATTTGTGAATACACAAATGAATATCAAAATTTATATTTAAATTTTAAAGTGCTTTATTAAGAGGTATTTTTGAAACGTAGTCGTAATAAATTGGGCGAATTGTCAGCCAGCTTTCTGTATGAGTCATATGCAAAAGCATTAACATGCAGTAGCAATTATAGCTGACATAAACGACCGATATTGGTTGTATTAAAATAAACATTAATATAATTCGAAATACAACTACAGAACTAAATGTAAAAAATCGTCTACAATATAGCTGAGCACACCGACCATAAAAATATGTAGGTAAAAACTATATCTGCGTAAATATTTTATTTGAAGTGATGTTATCCATAACATCACTTCAAAGCAATATCAAGACTGATATTATTATATTAATATTACTATCGCCTTATGTAAGGAGATAGTAAATAATTTCCGACTTATTTACGTAACTTTAAAGATTAAAACTAGACACTATTATTTCATACTTGCTATGTCTATACATAGTTCGTATAAGTCAGGAAATCTAACTGACCTATGCCACCGCTGAGTTCAGTATAGGCCAAATGCTTTTTATGCTTGTTATTACCTAATGCTTCTTGTAAGACTAATGATCAAAACAAAATTGGGATTCTCCTTTATATGACCCCAATACAGGGCCTTGCCAAGCTTATTTGACATTCGAGAGGCCGAACTGAACGGGAAGTGACACATACAATGTATCATAAGCTCTCCCTCTGGAAACAATAATAAACCAAAGAATATTTTGGTTAAACAATTCTCAAGTTATATTTCACGTGTATCTTTGCTTTTTCGCCCTTTTACATGTGAACTATTTAGATAAGTAATTAGTTTGGACAATTAAATGGAGGGAGTGATTACAGTAGTGTAACAATAGATGGCGTTATTGTGTTTTAAGCCTACTGGTTTAAAAGAAAGTCAACGAGAGTAATCACTATGGCTTAGAAACTGAACCGACCATGACCTTGCCCAATAAGTAATAGAATATTTCGCAATAACTTTCCTCAAGGGTAATGAACCCATCTAATTACATACGTCATCTTTGCTTTGTACTAATTAGGGAATTCACAGATTGGATTTCACGATAAATTTATGTAAAAAAATAACAATACATAATATTTTGTCGTTACAACAGCTGCGGGTTGTATCTTATCACCAGTGAACAAATTAATTAGTACCATTTAATACTCAATTTGTCTTACTTACGATTAGGTTTAAGATAAGATACTCAGATTTACTTACATGGATTTAAAATAACATTGTTATTTGTGGGAGGGCTAGACAAATGCCTTAGAACTTATGTAGTTTATGATATGTCTTAGTTTAGATAGAATTTCTAATTTAAAAACACACCAACACTCTCTAAAGGTTTGTAGGTAATGTTATCTATTTCTACAAAGGTAGACATAGTATTGAACTAGCTGTGCCCACGACTTCATCCGCGTGGACTAGTGATTCACAGTTCGTCCCCTGTAGATGACATCGGGATAATTTGTAGCCTATATGTTGACCCGACCTGTTAATAATATTCATGCATAATTTGAAGTACCTAAATTCATGCAATACTTTTTGAGTTTAGCCTGGACAGACAAACATACAAACAAACAGACATAAATTCTATAAACTATATTTTTGTCTTCGATATTGATTGTAGATCACGACACAAGTATTCTTTTTAAAAATGTTCACAGTACAGTTTTGACTTTTCTACGATTTTATTTATATGAAATAGATATTATATGTATAAATAACTACAATAATATGAACTTTAAAACACTCCTAAACGAAATAGCTTTGTGAAATTGATGCTAAGTAAGCCATTCGTTCATTAAGTATAACGTAAGTTAACAATAAATGGGACTAAAAACATAAATAGTGAAAAGTGGGTGTTACAACAATGTAACACCCACTTTTCACATTGTACAAACAGTGGCATTAAGTGCCGTAATGTACACCTCTTCCGATCCCTTCGGGAATAAAAGGCGTGATCTTATTATGTTATATTATTATTAGTTACTAATCATGGATCCTACTGTAACTGCTTTAAGAACAATTTAATTAGTACCTATTATACGTAAAGACTAACAACGAAACTTCGGTTCACGCATATGCAATCAAAACTGTAATTATATGCAAAATATTTTTAAATAAACGCGGCTGAGAAATAAATTAATCAACTCGTTCTGTATTTTTTTTAATTTTGCTGTTATTTCCTTCAGAATTTCGTTTTTATTAATAGAAACTAATTTATTTAAATCATGACTTCGTATGATACTTCTTATTATGATTAGTGACTAATACTTTATTCATATAAATAAAAATAAACTAGCATAAGTTAATTTAAATGCATTACAAAGTAATTTGCATAGAAACGATGCAGCCGAAATCTGCGATAACACTGTCAATTAGAACAGCGGCACTGATTCATTGTTCGAAACTCTTTCTTCGCAGCATTACGACAACTGGTCGTCCAGTCGCGTCAGTCAAAGAGCTTCACTTATGTAACAGAGCACAGAGCATCCGTATGAGACCACGCGGTGGATTTACTAAACACTTAATTAAATATGCTTCGGTACACATCGCTCTGCAATTATGTCATTAGCCTCGTATTACTTAACGTTTACTGGAACGCACTACACATACTGATAAATCATTGCTACTGTCTTGGATATATGATAAATTAGTTTTCGTGAAACAATTTCGGAGCAAACACTAAATTGGCCTAAATCTGTCTACCTCTAGACAGTAGGTTGTTAACACTTTCACTATCCGTAACGCACACTGTAACAATACACGGACGGTGTGAGGTCAGTGAATTCAAAAAGGACTACATTTTCGTTCAGTCGTCAATTTAGATTAGTGGTTTAGCTCGGAACCTCCATTAAATCCTCTTTGTCAGCTTCGATAGAGGTCATGTTTAATTGAATTTCTGACTAACAACTTTACTTGTTTATAGACCTACGCGACTAAATAATATTATCATCTATCACTTTCTGAAGCAATCCGTCTACGTTAGCAATCTCTAGCAATCAGCGACACGTAATGCCTCATATTCTATTAAGTTCTTTAGCTATTACTATTTCCTACTCATGTATTATGTATTACCGTTTTATATGTGTATTATAATATATTCTTGCATAACTTCTATTTCAGACACACCATTGTAGACAATTGTACGCAGCGCAAACTGTCTGGTCATCACTTTAACATTCATCTTCATGTAACATTTCAGTGTCACTAGTACCGCACAAGTCGTCGCCGGTTGTACTCCCGGTCGTAAAACCGAGCCGGATAATACGGACTTTGAAACGTGCATGTACGTAAAGTGTACGGTTCCAAGGACCTCACTACTGGTGGGTGGTAGCACGCATTGTAAATTGCAGAAGACGAAGTAATAAATAACACTAACGCGTAGAACATACAAACTAATTACTAACTTATCTATGTATAATTATAAAATAATTAGTTTTATCCCAGCGGCTTTTCCCACATTCCCGTGGGGTGCAAAGTAGGGTATGTGATGTTCCAGACCATAATCTACCCCTGTTTCATTACGATCCCTTCAGCAGTTTCGACATGAAGGAGTATGTACCAAACAAACAAGCATACAAACTTTCATTTCATTTATAATATTAGTAGGAATCGCTGGATATTATCAGAGTTTCTCTTTCAGTAGAAAACAATACAATACAAATAATTATACCTACTTATTTGACCCTTTTAGTACAGATACCTAGACAACTAAATATTCCCGATATAACTACCTCTACAAGGGTTACTAGACCTTTGTTCTAACATATTAATTTAAAACAATTTCTAAGTCTATCTAGAAATTCTGAACCAATTTCACCTGGAGTAAACTCGCTATCACTGAATTCAAAATGGCTTATTAGTATTGTACTCAGTATCCTTTTATTTAGTTTACAGATCGAAATTGTGATACGTCGAGATAGGTTATTCAAATAGTTGGTTTAAATTCCACGAAGCAATACGAATAACCATATTTGATCATAAATATTTGGCTTTTCAAATACTCGGATTATACGTGTTATTTTATCTCCTATCTGCTTTTAGTTTGTAGTACGAATACACGTCGTAATTACAGGCGTATATAAGATTATATCGGAGTTGCATTATGGTCTAAAATTGCATAAACTAAACCAGCACGATCAAATATACTTCCCCGAGGAGTAATTAGACTTAAGCAACCACTTTTAATGAAACTTAACAATTAATGACGTAAAAATCTGTGATTAATAAATAGACACATAATTATAGACCTTAAATTAACTAGGTACAGAACCTAATTCAGTTTAATGGTATTAATTCTAGCAACGGAAAAGCAAATATTGGAGAAGTCTGCATGCGGTCGGGTGTGGGTGACAGTACACTCGCCTGAAATCCGGTTAGCTGCTTCAGTAACTCTCTTAGATGCAGTGGAACTTAATTGGGACTTCAACGGGTGTTTTAGTACACCAAAACAAGTAAGTGCTATACAAACTAGATTACAAGACTCGGTCGCAATGATAATGTTATATATTCTGTCTAAGAAACATAACAATGTCAATTTTCTACTTTTTTATTATTTGATCTGTTAAATGGTGATAAGTACAATAGGTTTTGGAATCCTGGTAGGGTAACAGGGTTGAATTTTCTGACTTATGTCTACATAGTATAGAAATCTTTATCTATATGTTATTGAAAGTAGGCGTTATAATTTCACGTGGAACTTCTCAGCAGATATTAATGAGCATATCCACTTACATTATACCTAATAAGTTAAAAAAATCTACCTGTCCTTGCCAGAGATCATTTCCACTATATTTAACGCTGACTTAGTAGTTGAAGTGCAAATCATCAAGTTTATCATTCGTCATCCTTTAGAGTTATCGAGCTGTGAAGCATGACGTTAACGTGTACCTACCTTAATAAATACATGTGTAGTATGTGTACTCTTAAGCCATGACTACTAATAAAAACATAGAATCATTGCAATGGGTGTCCGTCTGCTTGTTTGCCCTATTATTATAAAAAATCTACCTTGAGGTAGTCATACAAAATAGAACCAGGCCAACCAACAAGATTGATCATGCATTGACCTACTTAGAATATGGGAAATTTAACATAAAATACCATTAAAATTAAGCACATTGTTGTACGTTTATTTGTTTCCTTTTTCTTCCTGTTTTCTTTATCAGATTTCCTTGAATGTCTTTGTTTATAAAATACGGATCATAAACTTCCATATACTTTACATCTATTAAATCAGCAACGATTATTATAGTACAATGCTAGTTTCATTCATAAGATAATAATTATTCACAATAGCAAGTCATTCAACAAAATTATAGAAACATGTTGAACGAAAAACGATAATTTGATCTTAGATAATAAGACTATCTTCAATAATTATAATTACTGTTACTGCGCACTATACGATTTGTGTACGATTTTCTGCATACAATGTTTCATTGTCTACAATTCTACAAACCATTGTATCAATACCAATTGGTTAATCTATTTAATTTCTTCCCACTAGTTTCTTAAACTCTGGCCTTCGCCGTAAGTTGAGTGCTGTATCTTTTCTCTACGCCACAGAAATCTTTCTGGGACATGAAATATTAAAACTTCAAGATGTCAACTAAAAATAACGGTATAGTCTCGTAAATATATTGAAAATAGCCTTATTGTTCACAATTTTAATTAGGAAGACATAAGAATGGTTCAAAGTACCCGTGTTTAGACGAAACTTTTAATTGACGATTTCGAAAGGTTAAATTTTTATTAAAATTATTTATTTAATATGTTGAAATTAAATCTGTCATCTCATTATTCATGCAATTAGTCATTTTATAAAACAAGTTTAGTTTTTATAGACCCGACATAGACTGCTATACTATACTATACATATCAATGAACAAAAACGTAACCGCGTGGAACAGTTTTAAATCACAGAGGACTTGCAAATTATTATGATTGACACAATAAAGCTCAAAGTTGGTTGCACTAATCAGTACAGTTCCTGTACTCTTTGTTTCGTTGCATCACACAATAAACTGCAAATCTGTCATGGTAAATTGAAACTTATAAAGCTCTGTTAGTCACAGCATTAACACTCTTTATGACTCTCTGCTGTGTCTTTTTGAAGCTGTTAGATTCGTTGACCTTTTACATGATGTATAGTATAATATGCAACTACATATATATCGATTATTTTGTACTTCTAACTGTAGTCACATTATAAACAAATTTACAAGTATGTCTACAAATCATTTTACGCAACATAGTATGACAATATGACAATCACACGGACGTGACACTTCGTCCGTTGACGATCAATTTTTATTATTCACGGCATCATTTGCTGCTCCTTCAAATACTGAGTTACGAAATACAATAATAGTGGAAGTGGTTTCGCTTACATGTCACCTACCGATGAATGATCATACCCACATATCAAATACAATTGCGTGTGAATGCAAAGGCAGGAAATCAACGGCAATGTATCATGTTTTAGTCACGTACAAAAATGGATCATAATGAAAATTACCTCATTTTGATTTACTGCCCATTATTTGGTATTACGTATATTTTGTAATTGGAAATAACTTTTTAATGCAATGCATAATTCCATTAAATATTAAGTAATCATTTATTTTATGTTTCCATCAATACGAGCATTTACAGATTACGTTACACTCTACACTTATTTCAACTTTCACTGCTTTTCTTTTACAGATCGGTCTATTTGACGATAGACCACAGTCATGGGATAACGCGCTATCAGTTTTCCAAGTGACGACATCAGAAGGTTATGTCGTGACGAACATGTCCTTAGGCGAAGGAACCCTGCCCGCTGGCTGGGCAACCGGTGCTGGGGTCAAAGGTCCCCAGTGTCTTTGGCCGTGGGTCGCTGCAGGAGACAATGCTGAAATACAAGCTTTCAATTGCTTGAAGATTCAACCCACTTGGATGGAAGACGCAGGGTGAGTTTCCCGATCCAGTCAGAATTAAGGAAAATCTTCTACCTACTAAATCCCCTGTAGCTCCAGAAATATAATACCTACCTCTACATGCCTTACAACTCCTTCTCAAAACAATACTCGTTTTTGGTGTTGTGTATGATTTTTTATGCTAAACTAGCGTTCTACTAAATAAATAAGCTCACAAAAGCTTTACCATTAACCTCGTCACTGTTTTTAAATTTCAGGTCTAAAATCAACAATCTACGCGTCGGTGACTTAGCTATAGCGGGCACACATAACGCAGGAGCGTGGAAGTTTAACACCGAAGTCAGCTCCGTATCACGGGACAGCTTTGTGCTGTGCCAAGATCGGTCCATTTGGGGACAACTAGTACACGGCATCAGATACTTCGACTTCAGAATCGCTTATTACGATTTCTACCAAAATGAGGAAGACAGGTACCTACCTATTTACTACAATTCAAATTTTTCAACTTTAAGAAATCAAGGAAATATTCTGTGTCTTCAAGGCAATTTATCAGTAAAGTTGCTACATAAAATTCAAGAGATTATGCTAAGAGCCTAAGATGGTTCAATCGTGTTAAGAGAATGATTGAACGGCGGATTATCTGAGGATTTTTAAGATGGGTTTTTGTGTAATCGGTAGTTCCGTGAAAAGCAACTGAGAAACGTTCACATTACTAGAAAATTGTAAGCGGTAAATTGTCGAGACGCCAAAAAAATGATTAAAACGTGTTGTTCATTCAAGGTGAAAACTTGAAAGATACAGACACAGACGAAGTTAATTATACATTACTTGAATCATCCAGTGATAGCTAGAAAACCTTGATTATTCCATTTTATTGTTTTTCCCTCATCCCCAAAGTATATATGTCTCATTTAGCCGAGATAAATCGCTTCATTGCTCTTCAATAAGCCAAGAGATGACTTGACACGAGAAGTTTGCTACTTAAGCGACGCTTGACCGACTCAGAGGAACATTGTAGGCAAACTCACTTGATTTCCACCGTAATCACAAAAACTAACTCGATATCAAATAATAATCATTGTGCCTAGTATGCTGCATGCTAATTCGACCGCAAAAAAAAACTACTGCAAACTTCAGTTACTTGGAAATGATGTAACGAAATGTAATACAGATAATTAGGTCGTAAACCTTTTGTTCCAAATACCAAATAAACATTGAACGGTCAGGCGATCAATGGTCTCGCATGACTACTTCGATTACCAAGTTAATGTAGATAATTCATTGCTAAACGAAAGACAATAAATATTACATTTAGTTCAATAGAGCCAGAAGAATATGTATTGGATAAATTATATGACTTGTGAATGTGGGTGTAACATTAGATTTTCATGATTTCAGATATTGGTTGAATCACAACTTAATTCGAGTCCGTCCCTTAGTGCCGCTGTTGAGAGAAATAAGAGCTTTCCTTGATGTTACGAAAGAGGTGAGTAGTGTGTGTGTAGATGTTATTTGCTAAGTCACAGAAGTTGATAGTTTGTTGATAATTAGCTAGATCAGTCCCTGTTATACTGTAAGAACTCATCATTTACCGTTTTCATTTACCGTCACCGAGCTATGGGGGCTAAAAATGTAACTTGATTAACTGATTTTTTATGGTCTTTGTTCATTATGTACAACTCTGGGGTACATAGGTACATAGGTATGTATAGGTATACTTTGAAACTGTGTCTTGCACATTAAATCTTTGCTACTGCCAATTTTTTTTAAGAATAAACTAATACAAAACCTGGTTAACTTTGAACTTGTAACATTCCCAGGTAGTCTTCCTGGATGCTCATCACTTTCCCGTCGGTTTCTACCAGCCAGATGGGGCACCAATCAGACCTGTGCATGCGGGTCTTCTGGAAATAGTGCAGAGAGAATTGGGGCCCCACTTGGCCTTAGCCAATCAGTTTGGGACAGGCATTGGCACCAGGGGGCCAACTCTGCAGACACTAATTAATGCCGATAAGCGTCTTCTCTTCAGTTACGTTGACAACTCTATAGTTTCCCGTAAGTATTAACTATAAAGTCATTGATTTTAATTAGAAGAAATGAACCTCTATGGACTATTTTGTTAGCAGAGTATCAATAAATGTGAATTCCCAAGGAAAAATATTAACATCTACCTCTCAAAAAGTCCAATAATCCTTATTATAAATTTTTTCAGAATACCTCAAATGGTCATAATTATAATCCACAGAACCCTTTTATCAATATACAATGCTGGACAAAATTTATATAATTATAACATTTTCGTCTGGTATCATTTTGCATAAGTAGATATACTGTTATCTAGAGGTACAGACACCTAAATAAACAATACGTAATCATTGCCTCTTTAATTAATTAATTAGAAGAATGATAAACTCACCTATTAAAAGATAAATTTATATTTAATTAAATTGAGTATTTTTTTAGTTAGTTAGTTTTAGTTGGTTATGATTTGGAGATAGGTAGGTAAGTATTCCATCTTCCCCAATATAATTACACAAATTGCAAACATAAAGCCAACATATTTGTATAAATTTTGTTGGATACTGATCTCACGCTGATTATTGTTTTTTTCAGAAAACTCGTGGCTTTGGCCCATCCTACCTCACTTGTGGGCTAACACGAACAGTCCAACGGAGTTGTTCCAGTACTTAGACAGGGCAATAGCGTCGTCTCCCCAGCCCGCGGCGCGGTCGCCACTTTTCTCTGCAATGGCGCAGACTACTCCCACTGTACTCGACATCCTTTTCCTGCGAGGGTCACTGCGTGACAACGCTGACGCCGTCAACCGCAACGTGACCGCACGTCTGGCGACACGCTGGCGCACTCAAGCCAATATAATTTCCACTGACTTCTTCTTAGGCAACGACGTCGTTGATTTGTCCATAATGATAAGCATTGAGCGGGCCTCCCGTTTATGACGTCGTCATAAACGCTTCCGAAGCGGGGGACTCCACGTTAACGCATCTAGACGCAGCCGCGGCCATGTTGGTGCTCCCGGCCGTCGCTCGCCGTGGCTCCCACACCGACGGAACCGCTCGGAGCTGCCGCGCCAGCTATACTTACCAGCTGATCGCGGATGTCCGCCTCATCACTGCCATACGTAGAGGACCCAATCGACAAGTAGTGAGATATTTTTAGATATATAATTTGTATATAGGTTCTAACTAGTCTGACACTCCTTCAAAAGGACTGTCAATAATTTGTACATAAAATACAGATGTGCCAAAGAGGGTAATGAGTTTTATTCCATTCTTATTTAAGTACTAATATCGACCATGAAACACAAAGTAAGAGTTCCAACCCTTTATTTCTATTACATTCAGTTCAAAGAACAATAAATAATATCTAATATCTATACGTAATATAACTTGTACTTGTGCAACAAAAACGAGGTAGATTCACCGTGCTAGATAGCACGTTAAAAGTCCATAGTATTAATATAATAAACTGCATCACATATGAGGTGCCAACAGAGGAAGCAGTTCGGCTCGACTCATTCGGGACAGCGCGCGAGCATCCAAACCCATGGCTGCAGCTGCGCCTCGGACGTCCAAGCCGAAGCTCTGCAGAAGTGACGCTAATGCCACCTCTTCACCAGTGCGCGGGTCGCGCAACCGTGGACACGATCCATTACACTGTGGCCACGTGCATCTCTCAATCAGTCGTCGTGGTGCACAGCCACCACGCATTTTCTTTCTGGCGCCGCCGAGCCTCTGCTCCCAGCATGCTATTGCTCGCGGTAATGTAATACCCGAAACGTTAATAGCTTGCCACTCGGGACGAGCGAGTGCTCCGTGAGCAAGACAAGCAGGTGCGAATGCAGCACGCACTGGACTTAAACTTAATAACAAGGCTGTACCTGTCTGGTGGACAGCGTCCCACTGTGATCTAGTGCGAGGAGCGCGAACACCCTCTGCAGCCAGTTGAGCCGAATCAAACAGGTACTGAAAGATGAAAAGAGGCGTTCGAATGTGAGGATAAAGTCGGTATCCAAAGTAACACAGCCACGGCTCGGTGGCATGCTCGCGCACACACGAAGTTGGTGGTTTACCACGCCAAAGAGTGTGGCCAAGGCGAGCAACTGTGGCAGCCGGAGCTCGTCGTGTTTTCGTTGGACGGTCGAGAAACCATCCAGAATCGGAAATTGCAGCAACACGGACACCTTTAGATCGCAGCGATCGTCTTGCAGCATCTGCGTGTAACATAACACCGGCTCCCCCAGCACTGGAGCCCACCAGCAACATGCGCCCGGTGAGCCCGTAACGGAACAGGTCGGCGATAACAGCTCGTACGATGAGACGGCCAGCAAATACAAATCCGGCGCTAGGATGCCGAGTACTTCTAGTGCCTGCCCACATATCACTCGAGCAGTACGGCAAGAGAACGTGGTTGGAAGCATGCCACAGCGGGTTGGCGGCTGCGTCAGCTGAGAGGAGGGCGGGAGCGCGACGAGCTTTTGGCCAGCGCGTGGATGACATGAGTGCAGGCCGTCTCCTCCAACGAGCGTTGCATGACGCCGTATCCCAACAATATCCACCACCTTCAAGGTACACCACCCAGTGATCACTATTCGTGCCTCGTCTGAAGTAGTACCTGAAATCATGTGAAAAATCGAATGATTGAATCGCCGTAATCATAAGCTGATGAGCTTCAATAGTTAAGAATAGTGAATAATAAAGGTTCCAACATAAAAGGAGGTTTGTCATAATAAAAAATACGATAAACAAATTGGTAGAACCAAGTAGAACATGTGATGAGCTAATCCAATACTGCAACATTGCTCAACTACTTCTCCATTAATTGACGAGCACCATCTTCATCATCATCATATCAGCCATTAGACGTCTACAGCTAAACAAAGGCTTCCCCAATGACTTTTAAGTTGGCTACCTGCGTAATATACGTTTATTCTATAATGAGTATAATTTAAATCTTACCCAGCCGGGGATCCATCGTTGCAGGTGAGCGAGGTGTTGGTGAGCCACACGAGACGCAGGCTGTCTGGGGGCGCCGAGCTCTCGCACGCTCCACACAGTATCACCTGTGGACACAATATTTGCGCATTAAAATAGACCAGTTAAATACATGATCCTGATAATGATTTACCATGAACATCGGTTATACACACTGAAAATATTCGAAAAACTTCTTTCAAAACGAACCACAAGGAGATAAAGATCCTACATCAGCAAATGATTAAACAGCTTATGCCAAAATAATAGGTACTAAGAGAAACTGAAAAGATTTAGTCCTTATGTGGACGGTTTCCTGACCAGTTGAAACAAAAAATATTGCATTAGGTGTTTAGATTAAAAATGAGTACTTAATTGGCAGTGTGTTTTACAAACTACATAATGTCTCAACTGACTAAATAAATTTTGAAAATTAAGTTAACAGCAACGACTTTACCTGAAACTGTTTTAGAAGAGAATAAATATCAATTACATTATTCTCTGTTAGAACAGAAATCCTTTTTATTTTAAAAAAAGATGAACTCAATTTCGTGCTCAATAGAATTACTCTAATAAAAATTTTTCTTTTTAAACTTTGATATTCGTGAGATCGTATTTTACTTTTAAACTAATTTGTTTAGATCGACCTAGGTAAACTTGTTTCATTCAAATCAAAATAGACTTTTATAGTGGATTAAAAATGTGGACTATCCCGATGAAGTCACGAGAGGATCCAACAGTCACATGTAAGCAAAGTAATCTCAGAAATGGATGGAGTCTTTACTTTGTAACTTATTGTCCATTCTAGTTTACGGTAGACACTGTACATTCTACAGTACTGTACATTGTACAGTCAGCCAACTCATTTAGTATGCAAGTAATAAAATAAAGATTCACTCAGTACAGAGACAGTAGCTTTTGAATTATGGTTGGCTACTGAGCCTCAGAAAATAATAATTGATCTAGTACAGACACTAGATCAATTATTATTTTCTTACCTGCATGCTGCATCTCTCGTGGCTTTACCTCAGTCGGCATAGTTTATATTTTTAATGCAACAACTCCACCTATTTCTTTTTTCTTTGCGTAAATACAGATGAATAATTACTAATTCACTAAATATTAATTAGGAATCCTACCATATATAATTGTTTATCAGAATTCAATTAGCTACTAATAATATCAGCTTAATGTTTGCTAAGTCAAAAAAATAGTGGTGAATTGATACTACCTCTAAATATTAAATAATAAACGTATTTGTGATTGTATATAAATGTTACCTAAAAAGTTAAACATTAAATATTTTTCAGAAATAAAATTATAAGTGCCTTATATTTATTGATACTGGACCAATAAGTTAATAAAATTAAAACTAATAGAAAATTAAAATTAAATTGAAATTGGAATTCTTGCTAATATGAAACTGCTATATCGGACCTTCCAAATAAGAACTTGATAATGAACTTCGCTTTTTTTTCAAAATATAATTTTCAAGAATAAGTAAATGATAGGTAATTCAATGCACAAATTCAATATATTGTAGCAAGGACAAGAGAGATTACACAAATAAAAGTCCAGGTAATATGTTTTTCATGTCATTAAACTTTAAAGAGAATTCAAACAGATATTAGTGAGTAAAAATATTAAAGAATTATAATTTTCAACTGTAGCTAACTGAGGCTACATTGTACATTATATTAGGCATGCCTTCAATATTCGTCCTTGCCTGCCTTCATTTGTCATTTAGTTTACTTTATAATTATTTTATATCACATTCAATACAAAATCCAATTGGAGTAATGTTTAACCTATTAACTAACTACAACATTCACTAAATATTATTCATAAACACAGGATAATTATTAAATATTCCGATGTAAGAGGAGCACAAACATGTAAACTTCCGCCTCATTAAGATGTTCACTATTTACTCTCACTGTTATCTGAGATCGGCGTGAACAACACACGTCACAAAATAATAAAGCAATGCGTACACAAAGTGTCCAAACAATCCAGTGGTTGCGGCGGAGCGAGCCACGGAGGCGCTTCATCGCTCCCGGAGGTCGGAGCGCGGGCGCAGGCGAACCGGAGCACACCCCATACTGGCGGGCGCAGGAGCACCACTGCGCCGGCGCGGGCTCCACGCGCACGCCGCACGGTAGCGCTCCCGCTGTTTACAAAATAAAGCCTCTATTTAGAGCGAGGGCGAAGGGCCAGCGCGCCGCCCGACCGAGTAGGCGAGCGCGCGGCTCGTTTGTGCGGCAGGGGCGGCGGGACCGGCTCCAGCGGCAAGATCAAACGCGCCGTAGATCAAAGGAGCCGCCGCGCGATCGGCATCCGTCATTATTATTATGCAAGCATTACGAGGCGCGCGTGACTCAGGCGAGAGGGCCACGCGAGCTGCGCGGGCGCCGCGCCGCGCCCCCCGCCGGCCCTGCGCACCCTCCACCTGTCAACGGCATCGACTCCGAACAAAACGACCGCCCTCCGGCCTGAGCCCGCGCCACTCCACGCACACTGCACACCGCCTCCAATACAGATTACCTATATTTTGTTCTTTTGACCATAATTTTACACCTTATTAAATTTTACAAATTTTGTTAACTAACTCAGACGTAATTGGAGATGCCTGACGGCAACATTGTAAATTGAACCGGGTTTATATCTACCTGTGTGCGTTTATTGAAAAATGAAAATATCATGCCTCATAAGTCTGTCTACTTATAGCTGAACTCCAAAATTATGATTATGACTTTTTAACGACCAATAAGGAGCAAAAGTTGACTGACCATAATATGGAGGTAAAACTGTTCAAGCACAGCAAGACCAAAATTGTATATAAAAGGTAATGTTTATAATAAAACAAAACTCTGGAACTGTGGAAACCTAAAACTCCTAACAAAGCACCAGCGAAGCTGAAAAGTCACCTCATTAGCGCCACTATCATCGGCAAACTATGAATTTAGGGCAAACAAAACAAAACTGTGGCAGACTATAGTTCCCGGGCAAGCTGCATGGTGACATGCGCTTATACTTATTTATAATGTTATATCTAATGTAATTTGTATATCGTTATGTAGGTACTATTGTGCAATTTATTATCATAATAGTGAATCAAGAAATTAAAGATATGCATAATAAAGTAAAAGGTGGTTATCCACATAACTAATCATAGTAGACAGGTAAAATTTGCAACATCATATTGAAACCACCTCATTAACGATTATTATTTTTAAGCTACCTAACTATCGTTTAATACAACTTACAAAGTTCTTGTAGAGTGACAATGATTTAGTAATACATAATAAACTTACGAAGACCCACTCCAATAAGGAGCTGTAAATTAATTTATATCATCGTAGAGAACTCAGTTTTCAAGCCAATAAAGATTTTATCGTATGATTTGACATATGTATGGGGCGCAGGTGTTATTTCAAAGCAAATTGTCCGAAGTGTATAAAAGTGGACGTGGACACAGAGTTAAGTAGAATATAATTGGCGGGCGGCATGGCAGACGTTCAAAGCGTGTACCTGCCTGTAAAAATGCCATCATAAAGCCAAGCCGCCACAATGAGCCATTTGACAGTTGGTACCCACCTTTATGATGCCGACTCTGATATACGAGCCGAACCCATTTAAGCTTATTTTATCGACTCCCAATACAACAATCTAGCTATCCCGGATAGTAAAGCGGCCATCTAAAGAATTACGCGCTACCGCTTACAAACAGGCCGGAAAGAATAAACCATTTAGTTAGACCATTCAAAATCTTTATAGCTTATTATTCAATCCCATTAAAGACTTAGTGGGACGGCCTCTTTAAAAGAGCTTTTAATATAAAAGACCATTATACTGGCCATTTTCCATAACAAAGAACATCATATTTTTTCGTTCCGCGTTCCCTTTATATTGCTTATTATTAAATCATTAAGCAATAAAGATGTTTAAAAATATGAAATGCTGTGAAAATTCTTTGTCTATTCTGTTTATTGGCATGACCGATCATTTTCTTAAAATTTTGTTATATTTTGTTTTTTTTAAAACGTTGTCCCACATTAGGATTTTCTCCTGTGTCGTGAGTACGTTTACAAACATACAATTTCACATACACAATATGACACCCAGACCCGAAACAATAATTTGTGGATCACACAAAAAAATATAATAATAATTTAAAATAAAATTAGGAACATCTAAATCTCTTCTATTTGGTTGCCTACATGATGTTAAAAATGTAAATAACCAAGTGTAAATAACTATTAAATAGATGACTGTAAAAATTCATTGCATACACTATATTCAGTTACAAATTTAATACTTTGCCTTATGTTACGTACGTGTCCCAAAAATTACCATTCGTGCTTACAACCCCTAGAGCCTCTACATCAATGAGAAAACCAAACATACTGTTTCACATTTTCATCAATCGCAATTGTGGTTAATAATAATAATTAATAAACATCGTACTTAAACTACTTTAACAAGTAAATGACGATGAAAAATCAGCTGCAGTACGATAAAATCCAATACATAAGCTTTAAACTTAATGTTCATGCAAAGACAATCTAAGAAACGTTACGCACGGAAAACAAGTAATATAATGTGAAAATATAATTGTACCTGGTTGTCAGCAGGTAATAACCGTATCATGAATGCAGGTCTAATAAAATATATTTACTCAGAAACGGGAAATGCAAATTTCCTAACGATGGCAATAAAATGAAGTCGTTGAAAGCCGGTCAACAGCTCTCCGATGCAAGGACACAGCTATTACAGCAAAATCATAAAGTACTAGAATAAATGAAAATATTATTCTAGTGTTTTTCCAAGTCACTTGAAACTGCTTTGAATAAATAAACTTCTGACGACCATACAATAAACTCGAAGCAACCCACAGGTTGCTTATCACAATAAGGAAGCTACATATTTTGTAAAGCAACTACTCGGGCGTACTCGTGCCTCATTTTTACGGGATCCCTATACTGCAAGTAACTCAAAAATATTCGTGGATGAATGGGAAAAACATGAAACTGACTCAAACAAAAAAAACAAAATGGGGTCCACGGGTTTTGGAAACTGAATGATGATAACGAAAATGTTGTAGTTTTACAATATTATGAAAAAAAATATGATGATGTCGGGATGAAAGATAAGGAAGCCCATATAATCCATGATGATGACATAATGAAACAAAAGATAAGATGGTTGGATAAACATTTACCAATTCTACTTTTCCACGTGTTGGGTTTTCCCTTTTTCTAGAATTTTCCCAAACCTATTTGAAGCTGAATAGTTACGAGTGTACCAATAAATACTATTCGTGTTTAGCAAACGTGAAATTACATTTACTAAAAGCTCCTACTGCGAAGTCGTAACAATCGAAGTAATCTTTTACTTAGGAGAATTACGCTAACATTAATGGTGCACAATTATTTTAATGCTAGACAAAATATTATTATTATTACGTTAAAGGAATAAGAAAAATTATTCTAGAGGCAAAAGCCTACTTATAGTTACAAAATTACGTACATGTCTAAGTGAATTTGTTTAACTTAGGTACTGAATGTAGGCTAAACCTATGTTTACATACCCGGGTACCTAACAAATACTAGTCTAGAGAAACCCGATGACCCAAAGATAGCATTATCAATCAAGACAGAATCGTGAATGAATGAAAAAACTGAATGAATTGCCATTACACTAACAAAACTATTGATGTATTATCCAAAAGGTATTAAGATGAAAATGTAATGATGACTCAACGAACTTGAACAAAAAGTAGAGTGAAATTCGTAGGAATTTGAATTACTAAACCACAAAGATGTGTACTTTGTTATTCAATGAACTCTCGCCGCCCGAGGAGCGAATGATGATAAAACTTTGTTTCGAGAAGGACACGAGCTAACTACTTTGTATTCCGTCTAACTATCTGTAGATAGTTAGTTGATTTTCCGGTGAACTGGAAACTAAGAAGAATACCTAAGTGAATCACCTAATATAGTCTTTATTAAGTTTATGAAAGACGAACCACGCTTCACCTAGATAAATAATGTTCTTTAACGAATTGTAGCTTTAATTTTCGTGAAGTTGATAAAGGTCAATAAAATATGTTATTTGATCGAAGAGGAGAGACGAAAGTTTGTGAATTGCGATATTAGAGTCTTCAGCGCAGTTGTGATTTTGTCACTTTCATTGTTGTTTGTGCTCTGTGTGCCTGGGATTTCCTTCATTTTCTTTAAACAGGAACTATCTGCTCGCCATACTAGAAAGAGGTTATTAGGTCCCGTGCTCTATAAAGCCAAAGCCAGACCCGGTATTAGTTTACAAGACTCCGATCTATGCATGATCTCAGAGGCTATATTTCTCCCAACATAAGGCGTGTTTATAAACATCCCAAATATTTTGGTCTGTTTTCTAGTTATTATAGTAATTTATTATTGTTTCTCTATCGTGAACACATATTTCAAGTATGTTTTGGCCAAATGTCGAGCTCTCGCAAGCGTTAAATTGCGGCACATTAATTTTATAATACAACAACATCAGTCACATTTAGCTCGTTTTATGTTCCAGATATAAACTCTTAGAAGTTCGCGATTCAAGTTATAAATAACTAAGTTCACTACATCTAACACGCACTAGTGAATACATGAGCTTCAGTAGTTATTAGTACTTAGTCACCTGTGGTAGATATGATCGGTGTATGAGTATCATCAAGTAATAAACCGCTAGTCACCTCGCGAACAGAATTATAATGGTTGGCACAGTAGCCGCAGCTACCGGTCGCTACCGGGGTTTGCAGTGATGGAAGCAGGCAAAAAATGTAGTACTCATTCTCGGTGACGCCAAAGATTGGTACGCAGTACGCTTACCGACAGAAACACATCCAACACTTTTATTGCGACGTATTTCTTTAACCGCTGTGAAATCTAAGTTTAATCCTCGGGTCGTATTGAAGCTTTGCTCTGTGAAAGAGGTGCCGCCCATTGGGATAATCGTCGTGAGTGACCACAAAATAAATTACCCGGCTATGTCGTAGGAGGACTGTCATGGGCCAAAGGTCTCAGTAAACGACTCTGGGAAACTCTTTCCGGGATTAAAGTCGTGACAAAATATTGCCGCCATGTAACTAGTGATTTACAGAATGAACTTATTGTTTTGAGTTATCCAATATTCTTAGACGTGCTCAGTAAAATGTCAGTTAATTAATGGTAATTGGTAATCTTTAAATATGAAAGCTGTAGAAGAAAAATTGAAAACGGAAAACATAAATACATAACGTAGTTTTAACTTATGTCACGTTCTTTGTATCATTTCTTAGAAATCTTACATTACCTAAAGGTTGCCTGGTAGATATCGCTTTTAGCGATAAGGCCGCCCTTGTACCCTCCTTATTCTTTTTAATTTCCGAATATGTGTAATTACTTGCTTGGTGTACAATAAAGCTTATTTATTATTATTATGTATGTCTTTACCATTCACGGGACCACAGGTTCCCGGTCATTTGGGAGGCGTACGAGGGGCCGAAATCAACTGCGCAGAGGCCCTTTAGACAACTTTAATCTAAATGTAATGGAGACACAAACCGGCCACTATCCCTGTATGCACTATGGAAATGCACCCAAGGACAGTCCCCGGTTAGTGTAGGACTATTGTGAATAATGGAAAAAAAAGGTAGGGCTATGGATGGGTTGCTGTGGACTGGTAAATTGGGAACTATGGATGACTATTGCACCTGCCGAAACAATGTAATTTTTACACGTAAAAATGGCAGGCGGAGACTCGCCAACTCATCGACCGAGCCCCGGGAATGGTTGCTAGATATAGCAACATAGGGGCAACGAGAATGTGAGTGGCTGAAGGGTTAAGAAACTACCTATATTGTAATAATAAAAGAAAATATGATATTAAATAGGTACATAGTATTTAATAAAACACAAATCAAGCTGCCTAATACCTAGTACCTAGAACTGAACAGAGTTTAATCCTATTACTCTAATAGAAACACGCGCTCAAAGCAAGTATAGGCAGGCACCTACTTAAGTTAGTAGAGAAGCAGCTTATTACAAACATTGATTAGAAGTAAATTGAGTAGGAAGTAGGTATAGTGAGTTCTGACATGAAAAACAGATTGTCCCTACCCTACCTGGCTCTACACAAGAATAGTCTTGTATCGGAATTTCTCTTAATAACTAAAAACCACCCCGTTCCTTCTCCGGCACTTCGAGCCGGACCCCGGTAATCCCTTAGGTTCTCCGCGACTCCGAATCGGCATCAGCCCTATTGAGCCCCATCCGTGGTGGTCTGATGGCTCTTTGAGGCGGGGAACGCGACGCGCTGTAAATAAATAAATAATCCTTCAATATCGCCCAGCTTTTTGGATATAAAATACTAGGGAGTATATTTACCTCACTAAAACCACTCTAGTGGCCACCCTCAAATGGTATGGGGCACCGGCTCCTCTCTTAACGATATCTGCTCCAGAGCCCCCACGGTGCAACGCCTGTTACGGCAGATCCCTAGGGAGACAGGTGTCTCCCTTATGTTAGGTGGTCTAGATTTTACTTTCCATCACAAACTAGTTCAAAGCCAGACAAAAGCCAGAAAACAGAACTAGAGAAGAAACAAAAACAGACAATCCACTGCAGTAAAAATTTTGATTGTCTCTAAGAGGTAATAACTTATCCTGAATACGTAAGAAATATAAATCTTACACACAAACACATAACATCACGCCTTTTATCCCCGGATGGATAGGCAGAGGTGCACATTATGTCACTGTACAATATAATACCCACTTTTTACTTTTTACTATTTACGTTATGAGTCCCATGTAATAGGGGGTGAGCCTATTGCCATATACCGGGCACAATTCCAGACTCCATGCTACTACTGAGAATTTTGTTTCAAAAAACCCAGTAATACTTTGCTCGAGCCGGGAATCAAACCCGAGACATCTTGCCTGGCAAGCGCACTGGCGACCACTCGGCCAACAAGGCAGTCTTATAAATATAAATCTTAGTGTTTTATTTTAAAGTACAGATATGATACGTCAGTTAAATATTTCACGAAAGAAGACTCCTTTCATGAATGGAGTCTCCGCAACCGAAAAGCGGTACATTCATCTTCCAACATTAAGTTCCTTGTTGGAACTGAATATCTCTCATAAACCGTCACAATGGTGGGGGCTTACGGTTGATAACAATGCTATTATTATCTGCCCTGCGGTAATTAGTGCCAGAGGACCCCTTGACAAATTGATTCCAAAATGGCATCTTCATTTATAATTCAGCCACTATATTTCTATTAGAAAACCATTAGAGATTTTATCCTTAACTTCAGGAACATTTAAAATAACATACAAGTTGCGACTCCAACTGGACACCTTTAAAATACTTAGAACAGGTACTTCGATTGCTTAAATGGTTCACAGTAAGTAATAACAGCGTTTTACTCCTTCAAAACTAAGAAACGATTAATTTTAATTGCCCCTTTCAATTTCATGAGCCCTAATAAAATTAATAATTTATGGAAAGGTAATAATTGCAGGTTGTCGACATCGGCGGAATTATTCGGTGTAAAGGTAGATGAGCGATATAAACAATAACAGCACTTGTGTTTATGATATTACGCACATGAATAAGCATTGTGCGCGGAGTAGGAATGGGCGAGTAGCGAGTAGAGCAGTGAGCGGTAGCAGCGCGACTCCCCGCGGCCCACAGCCTCCGAATCACAATAAATCTGAACCGATAAGTAGTCGAGCGGATTGTCGGCGCGGCGCGATCAAAGCGAGGGGAGGAACATGAAAGGCGCCGCCGCCGTCCGACGAGATGTTTCATTCGAAGCCGCGTTTCCACCACCGCCCGTCACGTCTGATTGACCCTTTGTTATGTGACATTTTAATTAATTTCATTTTAATATTGAATGACACGTTTACAGATTTAAATGACGAAGGTAAAGTATTCTGGTTTAGCAGTAATGGGCTCGCATATCCCGCGTGTTGTACTTCTATAGGTAGACCTAGATACCCATAAACGTTTTATTGGGTGTCTGGCAGACTGACAAGCATAAAGTTGTTATTTGAGACTCATCCGCCTTTATTTGCCAGGTTAATTACACCGATGTCATTAGACCGTATATTACTACTTTAGACCTCATAAAAAGTAGCCAAAAGTGCGATGTGATATCACATCATATATCGATCATATGATCGTAATCGTAAGAGTTTTTCATGTACGTTCAATGATGTTTGAAGTCGTCCCGCTATATTCTGGTTTATAAGCAAAGTTGACACCCTTGTGTCTGCATGCCAAAAAAGTTCAATCATTCCACTTTCAAAAGTCGACCAGACCTGGTTTGATATGAAAAAAAGAATTGAAAAGGTGTATGTATAAATGTATATCGTGCCGTACATAGCTGTGGAGTCGAGTGAAATAGTAGATACACAGAGATTGTAGCAGTTATTACTTTATATGCATGAAGCAATAACACCGTACCTTTGAGAGTAGTCTACTGGCGTCTTGTGTAATTAATTTGCCATAAACAACTTGCATTAGCTATACATTCCTGCTTCGCTCCAACATACTCACTTGTTTACTGCCCCGGCTACGTTTACACAACACTTTTTAGTTGATATTACTGGCCAATTACAGACCTCCGTGCTCCCGGCTACGAACCTCATTTCCTTTATTTTTTTTTAAACGACCTTTATACTTCACAATCTCCGTGGGGGTTTCTTCTAATAAAAGTAAACAACGTAGTTTTATACAATATTTTTATTGGCAAATAAATATAAACAAACATACAGAAATAGTTCTTTCATTTACTCAGTGTTGAGAAAAAAAAACAGTTAAAGTAAAATAGGTTGCATTACATGCTTCTGTTATTTATTTAAAGTTTATACATGAATAAATACAGACTCGAAAACAAATAAGGCACTTCTCTTTATCACAGAATACAACGTCTATAAAATTTCTACACACCTATAATCGCTTATTACTTTACACAACAGTATAAAAAGTACCAACACGAACATTTATAAATGTACTTGATTCGCTACAATTTATAAACAAGAGAAGATCACCTAGACATATACACGTTTAGCACACAATAACCAATTTATAGAAAACAAAAAAAGGTTTTTGACAGCTATTATAGTGCAATAAATATTTAAATTTAAAAAAGAGATTCCGAATAGTTACATAGACAACTAATAAGAATCTTACGAGCCAAACTCCAAACCAATTCCATACAAAAAGTATAAGTTTCACATAAATTATTGCATTCACTATCTTCCAAAACAATAAAGCAGTCAGTAGTAACAATAAATTTCTGTTTACTGGTATAAAAATATTATTATGATGTTGATGCGATGAGATCTAAAACTCTGGTAAGAGAATTCCTACCACTAGGAAAATGTATGATAATGATAATTTATTGTTCCTACGTGGAGACCCTTGAGATTCAAATTCCGTGACTCACGAACATTAAGGGCTACACACGAGCTATTAAAGTGTCACGATTCTGTATAGAACATTATTTTATCCCTCTACAGATAATATAAATCTCAAAATATTGTACTTACCTGGACTTTACACATATTTGTGGGACTAGGCTCACAAATTAATAAATATTTTGTTTTATTATCAAACAAAATAGAATCTAAAAAACTAATTTATTGCTTTGACTTTATTATTATTACTGAATTAAACACGCGATTTTAATCGTACGATCAAATGGCAATGCAACACCGTTCATATTAAAATTATTGCTTTAAAAGTATTGCTTTGATTCATACAAATTAAATACAGCGGCCTTTATGTATATATTTAATTGATTACTACAAAGTACAAAAATGACGTCTGAATTCTTGATTTTTTAAATAGTGATTTCATGAAGTGATGAACAGCAAAAGCTCGATTATTACATAATGTTTATAGGAAAATATTGGTACATAAATAATATAGATATATTATTATTTAGGAGCTACATATACCACAGTTACGCATATTAACTAACATAATATAATAATGGCAGGCTTATATAAATTATTATCATTACTGATTTGACAGAAAATAGGAGTATTTAAACAATATCCAAACATACACACCTCACGTGGTATCGAAACGTTTTCAGACCAATTTAGGATTTAAATAAGTATAACTTAATATAAGACTGTTGCCACATTATTTCTGAAAAGATGTTCGTACTTGAGGAGGAGACACAAAAGCTGGGGAATTATCAATGTGATATGCACCTTTTAAAGTTTCGAATGACGTTCTCGAAAACGATGACAATTAATACGAAAAATTTTAACTGGGGTAATAATCGATAGAATATCTGATAAATAAACCACTTGTGTAGTTTTACTCCAGATCTCGATTATGTACGCATTTAAATAAGTTAGTTACAATCGAAAATGGCGACGGATAACACAATGTTAGCACCTTAAACTTTTGCCGGTCCAGCTTTTCTCTATGTAAGATCAACCAATTACAAACACGACCTTATTAACCATATTGAACACCTTTCAGAAACCAAGGGAAACAGACCTTAATACCACAGCCTAGAGCTTCTATTGTGCGTTAAAAGCAAGCAATTTTATATACAGTCGAGGGATACAATCTGAGTCGCATATAGTAGGCGTCATGCATTTATTTATAGTAGTCCATCGACTACTATAAATAAATGCATGAGCTGACATATCTAGACTAACAAGTTGATGCATAAAATATCGATGACATAATGCTATTTGATATCTGCATAAATTATGCTGAAGAACGCAATGCATCATAGATTTTGCGTATTTGTTGAAATATATTTCCATGACGCAAAACAATATTCTCTTGAAGTCAGCGTACCTAACTAAGGGCAAATTACTTAATTGGGGCCCATACACGATCCTGCTATCTACAACTCAAATAAATACACCATTTTATTTAATTCTAATCTACAGGTATAGGAAGGTTCTCAGCCAAGTGAGAAGAATTGCTTTGTGCTCGGGAACTTAGCTCTTTGTTTCTTAACGAAGTCTCGAGCTTGTCTGTCCCCTTGACGAGTTTCTAGAGCTTTGATTGCTTCGCCGTCTGTAACAAATATTAATTTTCTTCAAGAACTTATCTTTTCTTCTATCACAATATTTGATGATGACCGATGATGCCGAAATTTGTAGTGCGAAATTAAAATACAACTAAACTGTGTGAAGTCAACTGGTTTTCACTAGTTTTATTTTGTAGACGCGTTGATTAATATAACAAAACACACAATCACCCAAAAATATTGCAATTGAAATTAATTAGGCTATATGATCGATAAATGAACTTATTCCAGCCCTAGTTGTTACTACAGCCAAGTAATTTAAAGAAAAAGTTTAATAAAAGTCATACAAACCTATACTAGTAGGTCTGGAGAGCGGCAGTAACTGCTGCGGCAGACTGGAGATGGGTGCGGGCGTGTCTGGCACCTCGCTGAAGTGTAAGTATGCTTCGCCCACGAACGTGTTGCTCACGCTGAACATATCCTTATCCTTGACCACTAAGTGGATCAGACCGTCTGTCAGTCGCCGCTGCTCTGGTGATAGGGGGCTAGAAGATAAAATGATTATTTATACCTAAGTTATAAAGTCGGACAAAAAAATCGTTTTAATTATCTATTCCCAGTTAATTACGATGCGAACTACAGGAGCTTATTCGCAAAATACTTCTTTCTAATCGTAGCACACAAACCACTGTGACCTCGGGGCAATGCACCTTTTAACTTTAAAAAAAGAACTGTCCCACGCACGTAATTCATAAAAAATGTGCTGCATTTTTTCAAGAGATCTACGAAGGTATTTAAATATAGATCAAAAACATCAATGACAAGAAAAAGAAAATATCAAAAAAACTTATTTAAAGAAATAGAGTTCTGAAAACATAAACATCGGGGCAGTCTGCCAAATAACGTGCATTATTTGGCCTACGGGATCTATCATCTATTTCGATCCGTGAACCTATTCCAATGTTAGCTGTATCGGTATTTTGACTCAATGTCACTGCTACCGGTGTACCATTCTCCCAAAGATCCTCTTAGGGTGTAACTAGTAGAAAATATGCCCCTTTGAATTTCTTATCTAACACAAATAATCTTATCCGAGAGAATTAAAAACAGTTTGTTCTCATAAAAGCCATATGTTACCGAAACTAATTTTGCGTAAAATGTCATTAAGGTCACCGAACATTTAAAGAATGACTGCATCGATATGAAATCATATTTTTTTTTGTATTGTCTGATTTTAAATTACAATTTATTTTATTTATAATTTTATTCCACGTACGTATAGACACAGACGACAGATTGAAATCGTACACAATAATCTTAATTAGTGAATGAATTGAACTGAAGTCCATTATGTACAACTGATAACAGCTGTACATAACCTACTTAATATATTGAATTACACAAACAATACCCAAATATTAATTCCCGAATAAACTTCAGACTGAAGTCTGTCATTTTGATACCCAGTAGATGGCATTATCATCGGTTTCCAGTACTTACATTTGGAATATTTCATCATATAGCGGGAACAAATTCTTGTTATGAGTTTGTGTTTTTGGCTTCTGTACGTTGGCGAAAGAATCTTCAGGAAGTAAGGCCACTCGAACATACGAATCGCAGAGGCCTGGAATTATTGTAAAACAAAATATGTTCAATTTTTTACTATTGAATGTGAAACACGAAATCATAAGGCCACAAAACAACATGACCTACATCTTACCGTTTGAGTCAGCCGGAGTCAAATTCCTTGCATTCATAATCTCAATCTTTAAAATGTCATCTACGAACTGCGCTCTAACAGTCAGCATGCCCATCTTAGGCTCCTGTATAGTCTGTTGTTCTTGCCACCTTTCTAAATGGAACTGATGAATGAGTTCTCTAGTCTCCATGCCATGTAATTTCAATAAATACTCGACACGTTTCAAAGTTTCCGATGAATAAGTGTCTTTATTGTCTTGACGGAACGATCGTATCATTATTTTGAGACATTCGTGAAGATTCGAGAAGAAAGAGGGCGGGCGGCGTTTCTGTAATATTCATATTTAAATTAGTTTTCCATTTCTTCTTAGTCATGAAAACGAAAATCGAATATATTTTTTGGTAAAAGTATATTTCGATTTGTCGCCGTGTTTACAAACAGAAGATGAGGCCCATCACCACGATGCTAGTAGATATTAAACGATACAAAGCTCAAACTTCAAACCATCACCCTTCATGCATGTTGAGGATATGGCTTTATGAATATTTCGCATGATAGGTTAAGCATGCAACTCATGCTATATACCTAGCAATACCACTAATTTGGTATTCATATCATATTTAAGCTATAGATTTTCGTCATAATATTCAAGAATAAGAAGCTTCTTGATACAATACTTCTATCACAAGATACAAAGAAATAGTATAGAGGTACACATGCTAAATTGGAACAAATACACGACTAAAGAGAACTGATAAATGGATAACATCTGACATATTCACAATATAGGATACAAATCTAGACACATCCTTCAAAAAGCTATTTGAAGCGTACAAACATAATGTAACACGAGACCATAGCTTAGAACTATAACACATAATCATCAACTATCGTAATACATATTCTGTTACTAAACAAGAAACATTGAAGCCAAGTCCATAAGTCGTTTACATTTTATATACATTGCGAATATTACACGTGCTACTGCTTATTTACAATTAGCAGCCCGCAATGTATATAAAACATAGTGTAAACTCGGCGGGATAAGAGCAACATAAGACAATAACATGTAACAAGGTGCTGCTAGAACTAGTGTTTACCGCGTCGAGGCTGGCGGCTGCCGATTTGCTCAAGCGTCGCGGGTCGATATACCGAGTTATCTTTGCCCTTCGGTGCTATTGGAAAACAACAACAAAACAAAACTAATTTATCCAATATATTCATTTTTTACTTGTGGCTAAACTAAAACAGATGGCAGCACCATAGCTTGGCCCATTTCTGCTAATCAATAGTTTTATTCGCTGCAATAAAGTATGACTCTAATTAATTTATAGAAAAATTATGGTGATGCCATCAGTTCAGTTTATATTTCCATTTAATTATTTTTCGAGGAATATAATTTCGAAACTTTCTGACTAGTTTAGAGTCAAATAGAATCAATAAAAATGCAAAAATGCTACTCGTAAACTAGTAAGAAAATACCGAGAAACGTATTTAACAAATCTACTACAAAGGAACAGAACACAAAATTAACCATGATTTAAAATTAGCATTCTATTTACTTCACCGCTTCACGGTGAACATAAATTAACCTTCAAACGTCAGTGCAGAATAAAAATAATTACTTAGTGAACCAGGAAATGGCTATTAACTAATCATTTGTCCATCCTATAACAAAGTTCTACAAAAAGGCTGACAATTAAAAAATCTTTAAGCGTAATTGCATCTGACGAAGCGTTTTATTTTTATAGATACGCAAATAATAAAATAATACTAGATAAGTACTGAACTTAAAAAAATAACTATTGGCTCAATATAAATGTGCAGTGCACACTTCTATAAGAAAAATTGCAATAGCGTGCGATACAAATGCAACATTATTTACCCTGAACATAATAGAGTAGGGGGATACTTTGTTTTTTCCAAAATATCTACGCCTAAACAAGCGAATACGGGTGGCGAGTTTCTCTTGCTACAAACGAAAAATTAAAAATTTGTTAGTATTTTGAGTAGGTTAATCTGTCCGTTATGTGTGTGTTGAACCCTGTGAGAAATGCCTGATGTATGAAAATGAATGTATGTTTTTGTATGCGAGTTAGAGAGTCAATAATTGAAATTATAATTCCAAAATATGCTTAATAATAATTAAATAAGAGCTTGATCACAATCTTCAGAACAAGGCATTGAATTGGTTGACGTTTCGTTACATAAATTAACTTCGAAATCGTCGATAAATTGAAAACTCGATAAGATAGGGCATTCTTGTTGTATCACCCAATAACAATAACAACACAGACTTGCTTGTCTAAAACCGACATATAGATTCCGGTAGGAAATTCCTCAAATATTTTCATCTCTATCTCAAGTGCCAAATTCCAAAGATTGTTTAATACTAGAGCAGATTAGATAGTTAAATATGTTAAAACAATGCAATTTTACAGCCGAACTGTTAGCAGCTAAACTAAAATTAAGCTGAAATACAACGTACCTCCAAATTAGCTTGAATGAGTTCGTAAAGCACTTCACCCAATTGTTCCCATACAATCTCCAGTGTCCTGGAGAAGTTTTCGTTGTTCAAGTGTTGGTACAAAGTGTCCAAGTTTGCTTCTAAATAGCGCATAACGCGGTCCATGCTCGAACAGTCTTGATGCAGGAGTTCCGCTCCTTCCATCAAGAAACGTGTGATGGATGGCATCATCTGAAATGAGACACATCTGAGATAACTGCACGGTTGGCGCGGCGGGTTCAATTCCCGCATGGACCAACTCTTTGTGTGATCCACAGACTTTTGTTCCGGGTCTGGGTGTCATGTGTATGTGAACTTTTATGTTGGTAAACGCACCCACGACACAGGAGAAAATCCTAGTGTGGTGATTAATCGATAATATAACTTAATGACAAAAAGAAACTTCAGATTATGAGGTCAATAATACTAACCTTTCTAACCATGATTTCCAAAAGGTCTACAATTTTATTTCTTACAGTATCTATTGCATTTGCGATGACGTTCTGCAGTGTCTCCTTACATCTGAAAGTATAAAGCAATAATTCGATTACTCCAACATTGGATTTCAGAGAACTAGCTGCAGATTTTCTATGAAAATTAGCGACTCACTACAGTTTGAAAACCAGGTACAACAATGAACAAAAGTTCTCGTGCAGATTAAACTTTTCACAGCAGGTATCAAATGATGTTAGAAAAAGGAAAAAATCCTTTAAATAAACGTTTGCAAGCAATCTAAGGTAACATGCGAAAAATTACCTCTGTGCTTCCACAGGAGACCGAGCTTCACACATCTTCTGTATGATTTCCTCCATACCGAGCTCGTGGACGAAGGGCGTGAGACTCTGGCGCACGTAGTCGATGTTGTTGATGGCGACGCACCAGTCTGTGGTCACTTCGAACCGCTCCTCGAACACATTGGTCACTAGTCCCACGTTGTCCACACGACTCGCCATCTTGTCCGAATAGAATACGCAACAGCGGCAGATGTCCTGGATCATCATAAAGTTTCAGTTAGTATTCAGCTTCAGCTTAAAATGCTTAAAAGTATTAGTAGTATCTCCAAAAACGGAGGAATTCCCTTTTGAAGCAAGCAAAAAGTTGGGTATACCACCCAAAGTAAAATTACTCATTCCTACCTATTTAGATACTTTAATAGACAATGTAAAAAGGGGCTTCCCCTACCTTACAAATTCTTGTTCAGCACTTACATCAATAATTTTGGCTACAAATGTGTAGCAGCCTTCGACATCGGGCCATGCGAGTTGTTGCCAGAATATCTTGATCTGGTAGAATATCGCCAGGGTATCGACTCCGGAGCTACTGTACTTGACGTTTGTGTCTACTGGGGCCAAAGTATCAAGGTCCACGGCCTTCTCGATGCGCGTGAGTGCCTTGTATGCGGCGATGTCCAACCATTGGGCGACGCCCCCAAAGAACCACGCGTGGAATTTTGATATGGCGTATGATTGCCAGTCAGTCTCGTTCAGCCCTTGGCCCAATCTGTAATGAGAATTACAAAAGCTTTAGATACCGTCACGAATAACGATAATAATGAAGAACGGTAAACAAATTGTGAAACCGACAAACACTTTATGTAAGTTTCGTAACATGTTGGTAGGTATGTACTTAATAAATTGGTACTTAATTATTAAGGCATTTAACTTCAATGACGTCTTTATTTAGAAGCAGATGTCGTGCGGTCAGTTTTTGTCATGTTTGCTTCATAGTTTTCGGAGCATAATTACTATTGGTCAATAAAACACAATATTAACAAAGTGACATTATTTTCCATGTTGTTGTTTGCCGGGAAATGACGGTAGACGCGACGCGCGACGGTTTGCTCATTAACTTAAATATTTGACGAGACTTCGCTCTGTAGTCAATTGTATTCACATTAGGCACACATTAACATGCAAATACCTATATACAAGTTATTATTATCATATTACAAGTAATCAGTTGGAAAATTTTTAATTAGGTACATTTACTTTGGACCTAATTCTATATTATGTGGATCTGGTAAATCTGTGAGGGCTGACTTAAAAGTATCGTTATTAGAAAAATCCTTTAAAATTTCTACCCGACGTAGCAATCAAAACTCCAACACGTTGCATAGAAACAAATATAAAATATTTTCCGCATTCAAATATCTAAAATCTTACCAACTTGCACAGGTCTGAGTTCATTTACCATGTGACTAACATAATGAAAATGTGCTAATGAATGATGCACGCTATCTACGTGAGTAAGATACGAAAGACATAAGTAAATAATAAGAGACCTGTTTCGATTATCTTAAGAATCACCTACTGTCTCATTAAACAAAGGGAGAAATTAGTAAGCTATCAGTTACAACTATCAGTTGTGGACAGAACGGATGAGAATATAGTGATAGCATTGATAGAAATGATAATAATACTCACGTTAAAAACCTTTGCAGAGTGAGGTACAGCTCAAACAAAGTAGTTCCCATAGTCAGTGGTTCTGAGCCGACAGCGGAGGCCCCTAGTCCGGTCTCTCCATTGATGCCTCCAGCCAGAGTGGTGGTTGACCCCTCGCTGTATCGCAACCTCTTCAAACTCTTACAAACATCCACCACCTCGGACTCCACCAACGACGCCAACTTGCTTTCATACAACCCGTACAAAGCCTTAGAATATGGGAAGCCCATAACTCTGTAACGAATTAGCGGTCAATAAATATCATTTACATAACAAGCATGGTAACAAAGAAAATTGTTCTAAAAATAGATGTGACTGCACTTTGAGTATGAATAAGCGCTGCTATTGAAAATTGTTTGCGTAGGTATACTTACTCAACAAACACTCTGTCGTAATACTCGACGGCTCGCTGCAGATCTGATCGAACTAACTGAATGACTCTGATCAGATGTTGTAGCCTCGTGTCCTCCGTGTTGTCCTTGCACTCGTTGTTGTCCAATATGTGGACGAACCAATCCGAAGCACCCTGTATCACAGCCTGCTCCAGCACCATGTGAATCGTTAGCTTTTCCTTATCATCCCGCAGCCATCCATACAGATTCACTGGGAACAAATCCAAACTCTCCGGAGCATCCAACACAGACAACTTGTATAGAATTTTGAGGACTTCTTTGAGCGTCTTCATGACTGTTTTGTCGCCAGCAGTCTTCTTCCTTAGTTTCCTAATGTGACTGTAGCATGTTGGGAGAAGTTTCCGCGCGCCATCCCAGAACAGCTTGACGTCCTCTTCATTAATTAGACCTGAAATCCAACCAAATAAAACATGACAGTTTAAGCACGCAAAAATTAAAGATGATCCTAGCTAAAAGAAATATAAACTCACCCGATTGTAAGGGCTTGGTGATTTTATCGAGCAAGATGTTGAAGAGTGCGAAGCTGAGCGGATGGTCGGTGGTGACGGCGCAGTAGACTGCCCACTGCGCCAGACAGTTGTCGGTCGCGCTGAGGCCGCTCTGCGCCACGTGCTGTGTCAAGATAGCTTCCGCAGCTGCGCTGTAGTTGCCGCACCACCAGTAGGGTGCCACCTGAAGATACCAAATAATTCAAGTCAAATATTTCCCCACTTATATCCGGACTAATTTTACATGCACACATCACATCACTCGTTAAAGTCATTGCTCGTTAATATTGACAACAGAAACAGACAAAGAGCAGGGTGCCCAAGCAACCGTAACAGGCATTCTTTGAGTGACTAAACAGGGAACAATGCGGGGTTTATTTTGAAACTGTTATCAATTACAAATTCAGAGTAAAGCTTAAGAATTACACAAAAGGTAATACACATTTTGGTCATGTCAACGTGGCGTTAGTTGTGTAAATAGGTAAGCATCACGTTAAGGGAAAACCTTGATGTTTTTGGTCATAAACGGACATGAGGTTAATGACCGAAAGAACTAACCAAACATTTCAACATCTTAGTCTGAACTTTACGAATTTAATATTCTAGCAAGTTCTGTTAAAATACCATATTGAACCACCTATTAGTTTATACAGTCTAAATGTTAATTATTGGCGCAGTTACCATTTTAGAGAAGCAAGGCCATTTCAACAATGCGTGTAGGCAGTAAACAAAAAGTAACAGGATTCGAAGCGTATACCAGTTGTTTTACCTAATGCAAAAACCGTGTCTGATGTATACAAAAACATGTTTATTTTCCAGACTAAAATTATATCACAGGGAAAGTTTTGCTGTAATATAATTTAATAGGCTTATTTATAATTTAACTCGTTGAGTACCGTCATTATAGACACAATTAAAGAACAATAGGTTGCGGCCACCGGTGTCCTCCCGGTGTTTGACAGTTTAATAGGCTTACTTGTACTTAATTATATATTTATATTAATAATTTGCCACTCGCCAGATTTATGGGCAATGCATTTCATGTCTAAGCCTATAATAAGCGCTCAGTAAAAACATCTCGGTAGTCTGAAGCAGACCATGACCTTACTAGTATGTTTACTTCGAGCCACATACCTACATAGGTACAGACATTTTACGATCGAAAAATATGACGACTAGTACTCTCAAAGGCACGGTTAGTATGTGGTTTATCTGTTAAACTTCTAACAGAGACATAAAATGAAACACGCCAGCTGACGTAAGTCTCAGTTCAATCGAATCCAAAAAGTTTGGTAGGTCGATCATAAAATGACGAGAGTTGCAATTTACGACTGTTTTTCGTAACTATCGGACAATAAAACTATGCAGTGCAAAAATAGAAAAACCTTCAATAGTTTCGTAATTTTGCTTAATGAATGTGCTCATAGACATCATATGATTTTCGTGGAAACAACAACGATTGATATATCTATTACATAGTTGGTTAGATGAGATCATAATATATTATGAGACATCGATCAAGCTTGTCGCTATAAAAATAGTTTGAATAACTGGCGTTGTGAGTTCTTTTATGGAGTTACTAGTAGCGTGTAGCACATGGTACGTAGGTCAGTGTTCAGGGGAACTATGTGATTAGTATGCATAGCTCGAATAACCACAGTACTTGTGCGAGTGACTAACATAATCTATTACACCTATTATTAATTTGCTGGGCACTATTTACGCAGTAGACTAACCTTTGAGTTTTCGAGCTCATGTAGGAGTATAATCCTTAGGAGGTGCCTGTGTTCTTGAGCTGCTACTTGAGAATTCTTCTCTGAAGAAAAGTTGAGCCGTACTTTGACAACGCCCTGTCGTCTTAGCTTGCTCTTCTTGCTAAGACTGTACCACATGTTCATCCCTCCGGCGGGAATTGACTGCAAAAAATAAAAGTTATTGTAAGAAGATGTCAGAGTTTTTGTATGCTTAGAAGTAAGTTGCTTGTTGTATTCCTTACTTTGAGTGGAATATTGGATGTACCAATCAGTTCATTATCATGCTTCCCAGTAGAAGCAGTGATAGCTATCTCCTTCATAAGCTTCCTGAGTCCCTTCACCCCTTTAACTTCAAATATCTTTGTCATTTTCTCCTTCACAGTCTCCGCGGGGTCAAAGTCCCTGAAAGGTAATAAACAGGTTGTTCTCAAGCATCTTATATTTACTCATAAACATGAAGTCAATGGTATTAGTTACTGGGACATAAACTTTAATTACTGTACTTTATGTCACCTGGGTAATTAAATGTAGAATATGAATAGCAACATGATGTGATTAAAACAGTTGCGTGTTAATAACACGGCTATTAAACACTACAATACAGGTATATCGGTTCAGTGAAATCGCTAATCACAGCCGTAAACGGAGTCAGAGGTCACTGACCCTGAATTGAGGTTTTTTGGTTTTCCTAGTTATTCAATTGTTTTGGTCACGCAGCTTTGATATTCATTCAACAGGCAGATATTTATAGTAGTAGTCAGAAGTTTTTAATACGTACCACACTTCCAACACAAGGGAATCTTCTTGCACACTTCCTGGCATTGGCCTGAAAGTATAAACATAGTATAATTACGTGTATGCGCACAGGCAAGCGATGTATGAACGGGGCGTTTATCCGTGAGAAATGTTTGCCAATGAGCTAGACCTCGCGTGAGTTAGCGCTAATGCAGTCGTAAATTTTGTATGAGCATGTTACTCTACTACATACTACTATATTGTTAGGAACATTTCTCTGCTAACGTCATCGGGTTTATGTGGCACGTTACTAGGTCACATGCATCGGGAAATTAAGGTGAAAACTACATTGCTTAAAACTTTCAAAACTGTTTACATTACCGAAGCGTTATTGCATAAGATAAATCTAAAAATGCATTTTATATGCTTGTAATCTGCATATTTTGCACACATGAGTTTATCCTCAGTCAACGTGTTTCCCCGGCTTTGTAGACATTTCACTTATTTACATTTCTCGGAAACACTGCATTCATTGTTTGCATAAGATAGCAAGGTAAGATGCCTCATATTCAGAATTTTGTTTGACGTTGAAGAAAAACACATCACTTCCTCAATTACTTAATTACTTATTTTCTAAAAACAGTGATATTATTTTATGTATACTTACAAAGAAAAATGTTCCTCCCATGATGGGTTGAGAGTTCCCGACTTGACTGAGGTGTTGTACCTATGTGACGGGTTTGACATCAAATATATTGTGACGAAAGGATCACTTAGACCATTCGGGTCTTTAGGAACCAAGTCTTTGGCTTCAACCACTTCCACATTGAGCATCAACTCCGGTGGTTCCTTCGCTTCAGCTTGTGTTAGCAGTTCTGTGTGTTTGTCATTAGCTATTTTAAAGGCTTCTTGTATGTAGGACAGCATAGCAAGCTGTCCGACTTCGCACCCTACGTCACATCCCCCGACATTGTGCAGGATCTCGTAAAGTACTTCCAAATAAAGTTCATCGACCTGGAAAATAGCTTTTGTTTAGATTACAATGATAGGTGGCGCTTGCATGACGCTTGCAGTCTTGGCCTATATTATTATTACATGCTAAAAATAGACGTGATAATTAGAACTACTAGGCGAATAGACTGTAGGTATCTGTCACGTAAGTATACAGCTATATATGTATCAGGAAAACTATTGGTAACTAAGGTACAAATTCGCACGATTATGAAACATATAGTTTCATTGTTCTCGGATATGAACATACATAATCCTAGGGATTGCCGTCCTATTGTTTGTTATTTTAATTTCTTGGTAAATACCGTATGTACAATGTACATATTTGTTTGTTTATCTATTTGTAGGTACTTTATTGTACATAACATAACTTACAAAAAGTAGTGAAAAATGCTCAAGGCGGTAGTTATAAGGCAGCAGTTGACTTTTCATCAAAAAAATAGAGCATAATAAAGTAGATGTCAAGTAAATGTTCTACTGTTGTGAATATTAAATGCTACAAGTCTCTGTTTCTGCAATTTATACATTTGCTATTTTAATATAAAAATTATTAAAACCTTTGTAAATTCAAACACTTTCTCAGCCACTTTTTCAGTAAAATTATCACATTGCAAAAATACCACCATCTTAATTTATTAAAGTTTCTTAGTTACAAACACAGAAATGCACTATATTCCTATTTATTTATCACTTAAATTACTACATTGCACCACTTTCCATCAGAAAGTGCCAATTCGTTTGCTCAAACTAGTAAGTTATTTTTATGGAGTACCTATTGAGATATTTGAAACTCTTGATAATAACCTTCTAATTGAAACGATAAAGCACTTAAGTAATGTAGTTATAATAAGATACGCTGCCGGTCCACTTATTGCTTATCTGGCCTCGCTTGCATCTACGTATGCAACCACCACGGCAAGAACGTGACAACAATGATGGTCCAGAATACTTTGAGTGATTCGCTCACTGTCTGTTCACTCAAACCTGCCAGTGTTTGTAGATAGATGAGTAGGTACACTCACCGACGAATCGTAATAATATCGCAATTTCATAAACCAGTCGACGGAACCGGGATGCAAAGTTGCACAACAATAGCTTCTGCACTGCAGCTAAAACCACAACTGAATGAATCATCGATAGTTTGAATGATAGGGTATCCTGGTAACGATACCACCGGAACGACCCGACCACTACGCGACGGAACACGAATGTCGCGACCGAGGGAACTTTCACCGAGTTTTTAGTGACCCTCCTAAAATAGTAGGGTTACTGCGCCGCCGTGAGAAGTCTATCGATCTGATGGAAAGGTGGTATGTTTACAACTGCCCAGTTATGTAGTAACTCCGTATTTGTGACATTGCTGGGTAATTTTTTATTAGACATCTATTCTTCGAACTTTCATGACGCATGAGACACTTAAAATATCTCGTAGCGAATGGGCCAGGTACGAGGAAAATAATTATCTAACCGATGAGTTTAATGACCTCAAAAAACCTATTGGTAAGTAAAATTGTAAGGAAACATTGGACCAAGGGAATATTTTAATAGGAATATGAGTAAAACAGATTACAAAGTGCTTTTAACATATTAAGTTTTACACAATGAAGCCTCCAAAAGAATTTAAAACAAACATGCGTTTTAAGGGACTAAAAACATTTAAATTGTATATCTACCTAAGTAAGATTCGTAATTATGTCGATAAAAGAAGAGCAGTAAATGCAAGTTTATCGACAATTGCACATTGCACGTAACGAATGCGATAAAACTGAGATTTGTTACGGAACCATTTGTTATTTCTTGGTATTTTCCGGCAATTATTCACATTGATCACATGGATAAATTAAAAAGGTATATAAAATTAGGGAAATTTACAAACTGTCATAGATTGGATCAGCATACTGGTCTGCCTTTCTAACAACTCTTTCTTCACGCCTCTGAATTTAGTCCGAAGTGTCCCCATACCATTCATTTTTACTGAATATTAGTCTTTGACTGTCACATATTCACAAAATTCACTAAAACAACACAACTTTTTGTACACTTGGTCATAAACTACGGAATTTAAAATGGGCCGCCATCTTCCATTGACGAAGTACACTGTTCACTTCAAGTTATCGATATTATTATGGATACACGAGATGAGCAACACAGGGAAAGTGTAGAGAAATGAGTGTGGTGGAAGCTGGCGGTGCACTGGCGGAGTCCGGCCGACTGGGACTCGGGATTGAACCCGCACTGCCGCTGCCGCCAAATTCTATTTTTGCAAAGCGCCGCCAACGAAGACGAATGCGAGAGCACACCTAAATAATAAAAAAAAATCTCCAAAATATTTCAAGACACCAGCTGATGTGATGTCTCACTCGATCAATATCTTTGTTGGAATGACCAAGCTTCCTGTTGAATATAATTTAATAATGAACTCCATATTTATTACATTTCTACTCTGTTAAGATGTGCATTTTTTGTATAATTATTTTTTCTTATTTTGCGTTAATTCAAAAAGAAGCGAAAGTTCATTCAATTTTGCGGATTATTCGATCCATTGACGCAACAGTCTGAACTAGCTTCAGGTCTGTAGCTCTCATAGCAACCTACCTACATGTAGGAACAGTGTACATTTAACTAATACCGTATGTATATTATATACGAGTATGTTCCTCTTAGAACAAGAAACAATATCTACACAACAGAACATTCTCATGAGTTTAATGGAATACCAAACGTATTTTTATGTATCAAAAAATACATAACACTTGAAACGTGACTATAAATCGCGAGGGAGGCCGTTACAGCGTTTAATAAATTTAGTAATTTTATTTATTGCATATAATAACTCTAGTTTAGAATGGTAATGTAGGTTATCGACCATTGTCAGCCGTATGAAAATCTGCGATGCTTGAAAACGGATATTAGAACTATAATTTCATATAATGAGCTTAAACGATTGAACGAAAGAGGTATGGTAGGATCGTGTCATTTGGTATACTATTCTATTGTATTTGTTACACCATTACTACTTACTCCATTGGGAGGCGTGGCGACATCTATGTATTTAGAATAGATGAGTATTGAAACAAAATTCCAATTTGCATATCTCCTACAAAATAAACAGACTCTGGAATAGATATATTTCCAGTGATATCGATTATTCCACAAATGACATTCCATGCAATATCAAATTTTACCAGTTGCATGCGAAGGATAATTCCGCGGATAAACCCAATCACAGAACATTTCTCTTTCCTTAATGGGCGTTTTATAACACAGCTATCCAAAACTTCTCGGTAGTGTTTAATATACATGTAAGTAGTGTTGAACACACAATCAAAAACCAAGGCTCCCAGTTAGCAGGGCAACAGGCGCGCGTGCTGAACGATTTATTTATTTTATTAACCGCGTGCGTTTGGGCTTGCCGGGAACGGAAACTACTCTCTACACTACATTATTGCCAATTTATTTACATAACTGAACTTCAGTAAGCGCTGGTACACACTGTTTAAGTGTATAGTCTGAATTAGATTAGAATTCAAGACGAATAACAACTAAATATAGGTATTCGTAAGAAAAGTAAGGAGTTGCTTTGATGTTATTTTACAAGCGTCTTTGTTTAGGTTTAAAGAAGTGTGGATTGTGTGTTAGTGAAAATAAAAGTATAGGTAAAACCACTTATGAGATACTCTGACGTAATTAGTCTAATAAAACACTTGAATATTATCTATATGGATCGCAAGTTCCGTCAAGTCCTTGTTTTATTTAAAAAAAAGATAAAACAAAGATCTGTTTTGTAGTTCTGACTACAAAACAGATCTTTGTTGTCATATTGCCTACGTGTAACTCTATCCTTTACTTTGCTGGTACTAACTCCATCTGTGAGATTACGTTAATGCATCTTGAGATTATCCACGCCGTACATCAAGCAAATAACTGTCTAAATCTAGATGATGTAAAACAAAAGTTCTTTGGCACGTAGGAAGTGCTATGTATCTAAGCATCTAGTATCTACTAATAATAATATCTACTTAGAAGTTAAAGTACTTTGAACTCTATTTGCTTCTGCATTTACCTATACATATACCCGCTTACTTTCTACCTGATCATTATATTATTGTCTTTGTTTTTGGTTTGTATTTTTTATATTTGTTATGGTCTTTTATATGATTTGACATTCGCACCTTTTTGCGTTGCTTCACGTCGGTTTTCTGTGAGGCCGTGGTATCACTCCGGTCGAGCCGGCCCATTCGTGCCGAAGCATGGCTCACCCACACTTATTGTATGTATTCTGAATTCAGAATAACAATTTACAGAAATAATTGCTCAATTGTTATGTGCGAGAATTGAACCCTTGTAGTCGTACAACGATGCTACGTTGCGCTGCGCAGCCAAAAGTCCAATCACGACGCCAACCGTGCAGTCAGCGGATGTGAATTAAGCAGCCCTTAGCCTATATTTATTATGTACTTATTGGATTGGAATTATATGCTCGTAATATCAGATTCTATTATATTGATCACAAGTATCAACAGGCGCCCACCATTGACGCATAAGTAAATGCACTCTTACAAAAAACTATAACCGGAAAACAGTTAAAAATTCCAAGTAAAAAAGAGGAACGACATTGGAGATGACGTAGATATTTGGAAAAGTCTACAGCGGTCATTGAGATCAACCTTGGTTGGAAGTTGACAAAATAAAACGAGAAAAGTGAAAATCATCTGGATTCGTGCCAAGGACGCCGGCGAGGAGCGCGCCCATTGTGATTGAGACCACACAATAATATTGTGTATGTGTCCCGCAACGTAGAGGAAAAGACGGAATAAAATACCTACCCAAACTTATCTTGACTGTTGATTGTATAATGAGTCTTTGTGCACTATATGGATATCGACTTAGTAATCATCCTTAGCATAAGTCAAAAGAAATTGATTTGGTGCATTTGACTAAAGACAATAGACATAAAATTATAGTAGATATATCATTTAAGTAAGCCTATACACTCGGTATATCTTCCATTCGTGTTTTTCAGTACGTGTTTATGTGTAAACGTTAAATCCAGAACAACAATACGGTTAGACGAAGCGAGCGTTGCAATCGTGACACCACCTTGGAATATTGCCCATGATAGAAAATACCTCGGGTTAATGTCACTGCATCGTTTCAACGGAGCCCAAAATTAGCTATGACACACTTTCCCAGGATAGGTATAGCCCAATGTCTAGTTCAATTAGTAAGTAGCCCCGGCTGGAGTTCAGGCAATTCCGCCCAAAAATACAACAGATGTCGCAACGACACTTGGCTAACTAGCAGACTAGTTTCGAGATCATTGATTTCCGCCCCGATGAAATGTTTATTGTCAGTGCACTCTCCTGCAGAATCAATTTAGGGATATAGGTCAAATCGTGTAAATAAAAGTACGGCTAGCTAGTACTTCTAAAGTGGGAAGTGGGCCCTTCATCAAACAATTTATGGGTATTGAAACATGTGATATAGTTCGATTGAAATGGTAGCAGTAATGAAATAAAAAAGTACCTACAAACACATCCAAACCTTCCTGTTAGGAAGATAATATGTAATGAGAGAGAATAATTTTCAAATATGGATGAGTAGATAAACGTTAGATAAATCAATAAGATGTAAATAGTAGATTAAATACCTACCCACACACAAAAATCAGAATAAGAACAAATACATTGTATTTAACCACTCCTACGTATTTATACAAATAGGGAGATGTTCTGTCTTTTTATCCATCTATAATTGCATACGTAGTTATGTAGAAGACACTCAACTCAATGACTAAACCAATATAATATGTTATGATATGTATCTAATGCAAACATTAGAGGCGCTAATTAGAGGCACAAATAGCATAACAAATAAATATGATAAAGATACTCACGTTCCAGCCGACAGCCTCGACATAGCGATCTATTTTATCATGTTCCTCTGGTTCAGAATCAGTGTCCAGCAGGGTTTCATTGCCACTATCAGAATCCCTTAAAATACTCTTAGAATCCTGTTCAACTTTTTGCTCCCCATCTTGTTCTTCAGCCTCCTTCAGAGGTGCTAAAGGTGTCGATTCCTCTAAAGCGGCCTTTTGAGAAGCTTGCTTTAGAATAGAACCAAACTTTTCGAAGAAACTATCGTCTACTTCTTGTATTCTGTAACAAAGATAAAACTTTGATTCGTTTTTTACTTCGTTATAAATTCTTTCAAAGTATTTCGTAACATAGATTGGTACTCCTTTGCGTATCAAAGGAGTTCCTATAAGGTCATAAATATAAAAATAAACTGACCAATGCAATGGGTTGACATCGTCATACAACAGGGCATATAAAACTATAAATAACGGTAAAATGCGTTAAATAGGGATCGAGAGGTGAATAGAGACAGAAGAGGGGTAAATAGACATTATGAAGAATTTCCCAATATCTATTCACCCCTCTTTTGTCTCTATTCACCTGTCGATCCCTATCCACCCCATTTGACGGTAATGCCTCTGCTAAAAGTAAAATGTGTGTTGTGATAGATGTGTAAAATATTTTGTATATAAAATAAAATATTATACAATGCCCCCTGATATCGATAAACAAACGAGTAAGGACATCACTGTTTTATCGATAAGGTGGATATTCATTTTCAACACGTGTCCAGCACTAAAACCGTCTAAATTATAAATACTGTTGTGTTGGCTGCACTGTTCGCCAGCGATTTAGTTTTACAGTTGGTACCTATTGGAACTTTGACGTTTGGTTTTCACTGACAGCTGTGATTTGTTACATACCGGTTTTAAACCACAAACCAAAACAAAAAATAGTCGCTTATAGAAAGACTTCATAAATAGTATAATACAAAGTAAGTTTACTTAGCAGTTTAGATTTATATTGCAATGTAGTTTATGATTATGAAGACATTCAGATACAATGTAACTTGTTTAATGAATAAATGAAATGGAATGGAAAGTAAGAAACATAAAAAACCCTTGGATACAACAATCAAAGAAACAGTCTTTGGATGGTAGGTACATAGTACAAATTCTAGATGGCGTTAGTTTAATATCGTAAGTTTCATTTTAGATTACCATGCATTAAAAATAAATATTTTAGTAGCATATCGTTAAAGAGTTTTAAGATATACGAGGTTCTGAAAAAATTTTGATTAAAATAGAAACAATCTGACTTCTAGCCACAGTTTTCATATCCTTTAGTGTGGGGTACCGGTACCATCTGAAAATCCAAGTAAAATTTAGGATTTCAGGATATTGTGAAGCAAATAATAAAAATGTTTTTAAACAACAATATTTAAAACGAGTTTATTTCATGAATTATAGGTAACTAGGAAAGTAAAGCAACCAAGCGGAACCTACCCGTCAATGGATAAAAGTAAAAAGGTGTTAAAATTAAGAAGATATTCATGTTAGTACATAATTTACTCACTTGTAATCATGCACTTGTTCTTCTATAGATTTTTGTTGCTGTAATTTGTCGTAAAAACCTTTCCACATTGATTCTTCATCCATGGTGAGGAATTACACTGATCAAATTTAGATTTAATATTTATGATTAAGTATTTTCTCAAATAAAACTAAAAGCGACCTGCCTGTTACGCAGCCTAAAATAATATGCAGATATCCACCGTCATCGATATACACAGTGAATCACAAAAACAATCGAGTCATAATATGGCCTGGAAGAAAATGACGTAAACACCGCCAGTTTACTCGGAGTTGGATTTAATCCGGAAATAACGTTATACACAGCGGTGAGAGCAACCGGCTTCTACTTCAATACACTTCACAACAGAGTTCACTGACATTTAGCCGATTTGTACACATATATGTATAATACCTATAGATCTAAGTAGGTAATGATTGTTTCGTATTTTGTCGCGTATTAAAAATGGAACGGCGTCTTCGTTTGTTTTGGTTTCGGTCGCGGCAACGCGGCAGCTGAGCCAGACTGACGTAATTCGAACCGTTTCAAGGTGGCTCTGAACAAGCGAACGTTCTGCGCACACCACACTCGCCGTGGCACGGCTATGTGCAAACTAAATGGTCTGCATTAGCACACGTGCTTTTGTAATGTCACACAATCAATCTGTAAACATTGAGACAATGATTCCTTCTGCCGGTATAACATGAAGATATTTTAGGACCATGGTAAATACAGAAAAAGATAAGATAAGAATCATTCTTACTTAACACTAAATTAAAAAATCACATGAACGGTAACACTGTAATCACATGAAATATTATAAAAGAGAATGGTTTTCGATTGTCAGATCAATACATATAGTTAGGTACCCTTGCTCCACTTATGTAATATGTGCTAAGTAAGTCTCAAATCGAAATCTGGAAAATTGCGTGGTAGATACCAACTACCGTAACTAGGTAGGTATGTATTAGGTAAATACCATAGAAATTATTAGGTATCTATGATAGGTATCAACAGTAAAGAAAACTATTTTTCAGTAGTATCCTACTTCTCATTATTAACTACCTAAATAAGTACTTAACTACTTATCTCTTAAGGCTGCGACCTGAATGCTTCTAATAAAATTGTAGTTACCTAAGTAAGTACCTACCAATTAATTTTCCTCAAGACAAAGATCATTTGACACAAACGCCTTGTGATTTCTTATTACATAGCTACCTACCTAATTATTGTTAAACAATAGATCTATCTACCAAGTTCGCGTGTCAACTAGTGGATATGGTTAAAAGACTTAAAAGGTTTCAAGTGTTATCAACAAACAGGTCACACCTGTTGATAGATATATTGATCCTTACATTACGTAAGGAGGTAATGGTCGCTTGCTAACAAAGTCATTAATTAGGGTTTATTTCAACAGAAAGTATTACTCAAATAAGTATACGTTACCAGTGCCTTTAGCCAAACGCCATTTTATAGAGAGAGTAGAAAACTAAATGTATGAGGACGACACCGACAAGTGTCAAAATTTACGTTAATTCCATATAATTTGGTTTTCTATTCTACATGTAGACAAGCGCTAAATGGTATTTGGCTACAGCTGCTGATGGGACACATGTGATTTGTTTAATTTAAATTTTACTCACCTACAAGACAACTATTTAAGTTTATTTGACTAAAATAGAGTTTAAAGTTAAAATCTTTAAACCGTTAATAATAAGTAAGTAGGTACCTGTTGATAGAAATTAGACATGTAAATACATTTTAGCTACAATAACTGTACCGGAAGATAAACTGTAGCCGATATACAGAGCCTGCAGCTGCAGTCATTATCTCTGTGGGTGTAACATATTCTACAACAAACACAGACAGACCAGACATCCTTTGACAATGCGTTTTTGACCTCATTATATCGGCAAAATATTAACGGCGAACTCAAAATCGAAGAGGAGGATTTTATCAAGTCATGTAAAATTACCCGCCGACGAACTTTGCAAAACGGTCGTAAATGGATCGGTATTGAGATCGATACTAGCGTGCGGAAGCATCTCGTGTCAACTAAGGAGAAGTTGTTTATTGATTGGGCTACCTGCCGTTTTATCGATGACGTCGAGGTAGTCAGGTGCCATCAGTGTCAGCAGTTCGGACACGTGAGAAAGCATTGTGTTGCAAAAACACCTACTTGCGGCAATTGCGCCGAAGCGCACGAGAGCGACAACTGCCCTCATATAAAGGAAACAAATTTTATTCCTACTTGTGTGGCGTGTAAACGTTTTAAGAAACCTCATGATCACCGTTGTGGCTCGCCAGAGTGTGGAACCTATAAAATAAAACTTGAACAACTTATTCTCAATACAACCTATTAAATAAAGTATGGATAAGTTAACCATAGGGCAGTTGAATCTCCATAACGATAGGGTTGCGACGTCTGAGTTAGATAAATTAGTTGTCGATTATCAACTTGACATAGTTCTTATTCAAGAACAATATCAAAATACCCACTTACGGCACAGGGTAGTGCAGCTGGATGGCAGGTCGCGGGCTGGAATTTATGTCACGAGATCACCTAATTTCACAGTAACATCCATAGCTAATTTAATGACGTCACACTGTGCCGTCGCGGAGATTGCTTCGGGAAATTGTAAACTTTACGTTGTGAGCTGTTACTTTCAATATTCTGATTCAGTTACTCCTCATATTCACCACCTCCGTCACGTCTTGCAATCACTTGCGGGCTCCAAAATTATCATTGGTGCCGACGTTAACGCGTCTTCATCCTTGTGGTATGGCAAGGTTAGGGCTACTGACATGGAACGGCGCTGTGCTGTTGAGGAATTCATTGCTGAAATGAATCTCTCCATTCATAACACCCCTGATGCACCACCTACTTTTTGCAGCCAAATGGGCGAATCTTGTATTGACGTCACACTTTCTAGTGCGGACGTTAGCTTGGATAGGTGGCGTGTCCTACCAGATGCGTCGTGTAGTGATCATCGCCTGATCGTGTACGAATTTGTTTCAACATTACCCCAGGGTCCAACATATTGCAATGATAGCTTTAGGTACAAGACTAAGGGTGCGGATTGGAACTTTTTTAGTTCATTATTTGCATCCCAAGCCAGAGACTTCACTCGCAGAGATCTCTCGGCCGAGGAGGGCGCTGAAATCATGTCAGATGCCTTTACTTACTGTGCCGACGTTGCTTTTGGTCGCGGGTCCGTGACTAGTACGCGTAGATGCGACTGGTGGAATAACTATCTAGTCGAACAACGTAAATGCTTTCGTAAAGCGCGCAAACAGTTAAATAGACTAAAGAAACGTCAGGTAACCGGTACCGTTTTTGATGAAGCGCTGATTGCGTTTAGAGTTGCCAGGTCACGTTATAGGGCTTCGGTGGAGAAAGCCAAGGGTGATTTGCTACGGAGGGTTGTACAGAAATTAGATAAGGAGGGCCCGTGGTCGCCTCTATACCATGAGTTCAAAGCCAATAGATCCGTCGATCTGGCATTCGTACAGAACATAAAAGTCAACAATGTTCACACCACTGGTATTGAGGAGACAACGGAAGTTCTACTCGACGAACTTGTCCCTGACGATGTGCTCGAGACAGACAATGATTACCATCAACAGATTAGGTCGTGGGCAGCTATACCGCCGGAGTCACCAGTGTCTGATCTACCGTCCATCAACGAGCTCGTAACTATTGTTAAAACTTTGCCTTTAAATAAATCATCTGGTGAAGACAAAGTCTCAAATAAAATGATAATAGAAGCATGTAAATCCGCGGCTGATGCGATCCTAACTGTGTTCAACCGTTGTATCGCGGAAGGCGTATTTCCTCGTGTATGGCGACGTGGATTCATTCGCATAATCCCCAAGAATGGAAATAAACCCCCCGATGACCCTAAGTCATACCGGCCTATCACGCTTTTGCCATCTTTAGGGAAACTACTTGAGCGACTTATCGTTCCTCGTTTACTGCCAGGTGGACCAAAATTCCACAACAATCAATTTGGTTTCACTGTAGGAAAGTCTACTGTCGACGCGGCTCTTTCTGTCCGATCCATGGTAAATTCGTCTGAACACAAGTATATAGTAGGCATTTTTCTGGACATTTCCGGTGCCTTTGATAACGCATGGTGGCCAATGTTACTCTTAAAACTGAAAGGTCGTGGCTGTTTTAGTAACATATATAAATTAATATACACGTATTTCCTTCACGGTTCCGTTAAACTGAAGCTTGGTCATTGTTCTCGGTCGAAGTCTTTATCAATGGGATGTCCTCAGGGCTCGGTTATCGGTCCGTATTTATGGAATTTAGGATTTGATGATTTGCTCGCGATTCCCCTTCCTTGTGGCTGTACTTTGACTGGATATGCGGATGATGGCCTTTTGCTAGTACAGTCAAATACCCGCGCCGGACTGGAGAATTTGGCTAAAGACTGTCTCAGTAGGATCTCGCGATGGGGCGAACGAAATCGCTTAACTTTTGCACCCCATAAAACTTACCAGCTATTGCTTAAAGGAAATCTAAAGTCGTGGCCGTCTATTAAATTTAACAACGTTTCCGTAAAACGAAAGGAGTCGGTTTGCTATCTCGGTCTAGTTTTGGAAAAAAACTTTTCTTTCATTGAGCATATTAAGGCTATTAGTGAGAAAGCCAAAAAAAACTTCTATGCGCTGACGCGAATTTCAAAAGCCACCTGGGGTCTCTCTTTTCTTACGCTCAGGATCATATACGGAGCAACCTACCTGGGATGCGTGTGCTACGGGGCACCTGTCTGGGCTGATAGGGCCACAATAGGCGCGGTACGGCGAAAACTTCTTCAAGGCCAGCGTCTAGCCTTGATTTTCCTGTGTAAGGCTTATAGGACGGTTAGCACTGAAGCCCTACCTGTGCTCGCGGGCGTACTTCCGGTAGATCTTGAGGTGCAGCGACGTGCTGCTATGTACTACAGTGCGAGACCTAATTTGTCAGCAAGCTTTCTGGCAGAACGTGATAGAAATAAAATTGCAAGATTGTTTAAGCCAATAACGGACGTTTGGGATGAGCTTATAACTGAATGGCAGGGTAGATGGGCATCTTCTATTAAGGGCCGCCACCTGTATCAGTTCTTTCCATCCGTGCATGAGCGGCTGGAGAGGACATGGTTGGAGGTGGATCACTGTGTTGCCCAATTTCTTACTGGCCACGGCAACTTTAAAGGCAAATTGTTCTCATTTAAACTTATTGATTCACCATGGTGCCAATGTTCGACAGAGGAGTTGCGATACGAGCAGTCGGCCCATCACATACTCTGGGAGTGTGATCTCTGGCAATATGAACGTAACACTATGTTAAATAATTTAATTGTTTCGTCAGGTGTAGTTTATTATACGGACCTTGTGGAATCTAGAACGAATTTCCGTGCGTTTAGGCGTTTTTGCCATACCTATTATTGGAAGCAAGTATAACAGCTCACACATAGGACCCACTTAGTTTTTAGTCAAATTTCCGTGGTGCTTGGCGACTGGGCTTCACCCAGTTGTACAGTCTCTTCTTTGTGCCTTTAGGCTTAATTCATTCTGTCTCCTGCAGTAATTCACCGAGGGAAG